AGCAGCAGGGTTTTGTTTTTAAAAAATAAATCATGGTACTAAAATTAAACTTAATTAAAATCCCAGGCAAATAAGTTTTAACTTTACATCAAAAGTTAGGATTGGTGCTCCACAGGCCAGGAGCCACTGTAGAATAGGGCATATCTCAGGCTACTACCCCTTGGTGTCTGAAGATGGAGGCTTTCAGAGCAAGAACTTAGAAAATAATATTTTAAAATTGTTGCAGCGTTACTTAGGGAAGTTTTAAATGTTTGATGTTTTAGCATTCTTTTAATCTGTTGGGAGCTGCCCAGAGTGGCTGGGAAAACCCACCCACATGGACGGGGTATAAATAATAAATTATTACATTATTATTTCAGTCAGGCCATGTCTGGTTCAATAGTCTCTCGCGTTCCATCATGCCAAATGAATTCTGGACCTTTTCTGGATACCAACTGTGTCCCAAGTTGTAGCAACAATGTTATTGATAACCAAATGGCCTGTAAAAGCAGAAAGGAGCTATTGGCATTTTGGACTGTTCCTCTGCCTTGGGTTATTTCCCTTTTTATATTATGGGCTGTACAGTTCTAGTGTTTTAAGCGTTTTCTTCAAAACAGATTTTTGGTTCCGCAGCACGGTTTTGGTGGCAGGCTAGTTTCTTCCTGACTCAGAGAAAGGATACATAAAATGGCACAGGACCTTGCATGTAGCTGAGTTAAATACTTATGTATTTAGGCTGATGAGAATATGCAAGGGGCAAAAGTGTATTCTCAGAGCAAGCCCAAAACATTTTACTGCCTGAAGCAGTACAGTAAATGGCACCGCCTTCTCTCCAAATTGAGCTTCTGCCCTGTACCTAAGGGCAGTCAAGTTATTTTGACACTTGAAGCAATGCTTATCTCATTGGTATTAATAATGCAATAATAAATAAACGGTTCCACTGTTTTGTGGGACATCATTGGGAGAAGAAAAGGCTAAGGAGTAAACCAGGCTTCCTCAACCTCAGCCCTCCAGATGTTTTTGGCCTACAACTCTCATGATCCCTAGTTAGCAGGACCAGTGGTCAGGGATGATGGGAATTGTAGTCTCAAAACATGGAGGGCCGAGGTTGAGGAAGCCTGGAGTAAACCCTACTTAAGCATGGAGTGGAGCCCCTAAGGTGGTTGGATGGCACATTGTATGCCACCTCCTGACAACTGCAGCCAAGCTGGTGTCAGATGTATTGCTCTGCTTTCCTTTGGTCCACATCAGTGAGGTCAAGAGTGGTCTTCCGGGCAGCCCACAACCTCTCACACACTGCCCAGGCTTGCAGCCCAGAGAGGTCACTTGGGTGCTGCTAATGCAGCAGTTTGACTTCGCCCCCTGAAGCACACAACATTGTCTCTTGAGACAGACAGATGCCAACAAAATAAGCTTTTTCATGAAACCCAAAATCCTCATTCTGCCTACCAGCCCTTACTCATCTGGTCCCCAGATTACTGACTGCTAACTCATTCTTGAAATGTCTTCCATTTTCATGATCTCTTTTTGTGCATCATTTCATGGAAAAGGAATTTGGAAATAATGACTTTCTTCCTCATTTTCTTTTGCGGTTTTATGTGGAAACCTAACAAATAGAAAAGGGGAAATGATAACCAGTATTCTAGCCAATCAGAAATTGGCTACTTCCTGATATTTAGAGTTGCTAGGTAGAAAATGCTTCACAAAAGCTGTAGTTCTGCCTTTGTTATGAGAGAGCAGTAGCTTGTTTAGCAGTTGTGTTCCAATGCTTCCTAAGCAAAAAGGTCATTTTTAAAAAGAGGTAAGCTACTAAAATTTCCACCAGAAGTAGCTAGACAAATAAAAAGAAAGTATATTCTTGTACACCTTCAGCACAGGATTGTCACAGGGCAGAACTATTTCCTTTTGATCTTGAAGGATTCATGTGCTCAAATCCTGCCTGCTGGTTTCCCACAGGCATCCTGTGAGAACAGGATGCTGGAGCCATTGGACTCACCCAGCAGGCTCTTATGTTCTTATTGTCCACACAGACTGGCAGTGGCTCTCTGGGGCTTCAGACAATGGTTTTTCCCATTTCCTACTTGGGGACCAAACCAGGGAAAGCAAGCAAGCATTCAATCAATCAATCAATCAATCAATCCTCCATGACAGTGGTGATGCCACTTCACTTTTTGTGCGTCTAGTTTCATAAGCTGGGGGGTGGAGGGGGCAGGAGATGAATACCAAAGGTATTGTAGGTGGAAGGTTGACTCACCCTGTCCCTCTTCCTACTCACCCAATTTCATTAAAACTACATGTAACACTGCTCTACAGATATTCTTGTCAAGAGTGCTTGTGACCTAATATCACTGTTACGGATGAGAGAGTTGCACATCACAGGATGCAAGAAGAAGCCACGCAACAAGTAATGTGTTATTTTAGAGATGAAAGTATTTGGGGATTTGTTTACAAAATCAGTTCTCTACCAAGAGAAGCTCAAATGTCTGAGCTACATCTGCTGTACAAATCAAGCATATCTTTGCTTATTTTGCATTATTTGGCTTTTGCTGGTCATGTGATGATGCAAGCTGATATGCAGGCACTGAAGTTTTACCCTTCTGGAAATCTTCAATATGATCCCCTAGTCCTCAAATATGATCCCCTAGTCACTGCCAACATACTTACAAACCTGCTAGTTAAGACACTAGCTGAATGTAGATGATTTATCTGCTAATGTGGATTCCAGTCTACAAAGGTCTTGTAATAAATCAGTTAACACTGGTAATGAGCATGGTACCCACAAGATGTTTTGAACTAGACCTCACCAATCAAACCTGGCTGGGGCTGATGGGAGATGGAGTCCAAAACATCTGGAGGGCATCTGGTTGACATATGTTAGGGCCCAGCACCGCAAGGGAGAGGCAGGCCCCATTTCAGTGCAGTGACTGTCCAATGTAAACATGATCCAGTGAAAGGTTCTAGCTGAGCAAGTGTGACTTATTGTCCTGATCCCCTGGCCGATTCAGCAGCCAGACAGCGTGCCAAGACTGAGTCCAAAATCCAAGGGTCAATCAGCATCTGCAAAGTCTACAGGCCGAGATCCAAAGTCAAAGGCCGAAGGTCAGGAAACGAAGTTCAGGGTCAATCAAAGCCCAAAGTAGAAACCTGTGGCGGTCTAGGAGAGCACAAGACCAGGTTCTTCACGGCAGTTGAGCAGACATGGCATGTAAGCTCTGCTGTCTTCTTATAATGTGCCTGCTGGTTGTAGCATCTGGGCTTCATCCTCACCTGCTCTCAGCTTGCTCCAGTTGAGGAATCACAAGCCTCCTTGTGATCCAGGCCCCACCTGGCCAGCTAGTGAGCTGGTCTATAGGCCCTGGCCTGCCTCTGCTTCCTGGAGTGCCCTGCCCACTGTTTGTTACGCCTCAGGATCCACCATGTTCATGGGGGCAGGGGTTCCTCTGGCTCTGGCAAGGGGTCCCGCTGTTTGACTTCCTGCTCACTGGCCCCCATCCCCTTGTCATCCTCTGTTACCCCATGAGTACTTCCTACACCAACCTCTCCTTTTCCACCCCCAGCTTACGCCCCCCCCCCCCCGTTTGACCCAATCCCAGCCAGGATCCTCTTCCTCCTTTCTGAACTCCTGCCAGTTCATGGCACTTACTCCCATAGCCTCCAACATTTCTCTGATGAAAATAGGGACGTCCCATTCCATAATGATAATTTTACTATTTATACCCCACACATCTTACTGTGTTCCCCCAGCCACTCTGGGCAGTTTCCAACATACATAAAAACATAATAGAACATTAAACGTTTAAAAAAACTTCCCTATACAGGATTGCCTTCAGATGGCTCAGGGGCTGAATAACTCCATAACCTCCAACATTTATGTGATGAAAATAAAGGCAACCTAAGTGAAAGCGGGACATTCCGGGATCAAATCAGAAACCGGAACAGCTTCTCTAAATCAGGATGTCCCTAGAAAATAAGGACACTTGGAGGATCTGTAATCCCTAGTGCTGGTATCACTTGGGGGAAAGGAAAATGGTTTGGATCTCAACATGTTTTCAACAGGCTTTATTAGCATTGGACATTGCGTCTCTCTTGCAATGCTGGCCCAACTTTACAATACTGTCCCCATTTTTCTTTGTTGGAATATGCTGACTGAGGACAACACGTAATACATTTGACGAAGCTGGCCCTATTGCATTAAAGTGTGATGTGCCAAAGGAATTTGTTGCAACAGGCTGACCTGCTTACCCCTCTGGACCCTTTATCATGCCCTTGTTATTTGGTTATACTGAATTCAATATATGGCAATATATGGCATCACTGTCTAGGAAGATGATTAACGCAAAAATACCGTACCCAATCTCTGCAGTCTTTTTTCTTTAGTCTAAACTTGACATTTACATTGGGACTGGCTGGTACATTTCCGAAGCCTGCTCACTTTTTCCACCTATGAGAGAGAAAAAACTGGGGACTTTCATTTGTTCTCTGTTTCTCGTGGGGTGATGACACAGGTCCTGCTATTGAATGTTGGAACTGGGAGTTCTCGGCTGTGGTGTTTTAAATTTAGGTGGTGGTTTTTGTTCTTGTTTGGTTGCTAATGAGTTAATAAAAGGTTGGTAGTATATGATCTTCACTCCTTGCGTCTCACTGTTTCAGGGAAGATTTTAATCTAGGTTTTACACGCCCACATAAAAACAGTATTGTTCCTAACAACTTGCTATATTGTGGCGTATTGCCTCATAAATATGCACCAGTATGTTAAAGATTCACCACATGCAATTTCCAAATCTCCGCTCCAAAGCCCAATCTGAAGTAAAATCTCTCTCCAAAGAACAAAAAGTTACTTTATTTGAATAAACCGTGCCATGAGAGAGCCATGAGCTACGTTACAGTGTTCTCAAAACGCACAGTCTATGTGGTAGCACGAGAAGCTGCAGAACTCTACCTGACAACCGGTGATGTCATTTGAGTAGCCAATGAGATTTTTTAAAAAAGTTAAAGCTGGGATAATTTGCTTACGACCTGTGTGTTGGTACTGGTGGGGGTGGAGGAAGGACTTGAAGGGTTTTTCCAATTCTTTAGGTCCTGCAACTTTCACTTCCCATTTCTGTGCTTCTAGAAGCTTCTGAGGAGTGCAACAGCCTTTATAGAGCCCTTGCTGGTCCCAGGCAGAACATCTTAACTTGCAGTCACCAAGAAGAACATCAAAAGAGACAGCACCATGGAAGATGACAGGAACAACCTTCTCCCCAATACATACACTGGCTCTGCTCCAGTGCCAGAAAGGTACATAGGATTGCATGTGTGTTCTTTCTCCCCACTACCTTGCACTTTTAATAATTTGTATGGGGTAAATAAGCATCAAGGTTTCCCACTGTAAACTGTCTGCCCCCTAGAAAGGCAGCCTGGCAGTGCCAGCCTCACCATTAGGTAAAGTGTGACACCTGCCTCAATCAGTAGGCTTTAGATATCATGAAAGGGCATCATATTGAAAGGTATTTAATGTGTATTAAATTTTTATCGCTGGGGAGGTGGGAAGGTGTTTGCAGGATTTTCTGTCTCAGGTACCAAAATACATTTTGCATCTTTCTTTTCTTTTCGATGGTGGTAGGGTGGCACCTTGTGTTACTCATGATGTTGTAGCAGACCAAGAGGTAGTGTAACTGTGTGTACTTTCTGTGTAACTGCCAGCAGGTCCAAACTATGTGGGCAGAAAGTTATGGTAAGGTATAGCACTCAGCCTTCAATCCCTCTAAAATGAAAGGCTAAAACAGAAAAAAAAAATTAGTGGCCTAAGTTGGGTGGTGGTGGAATTAACTGAAGCTGCAAACCTGTATGCATTTACCTGCGAGTAAGCCCCTTGTACACAGTGAGACTTGGGAATAGGATTGCGTTGCAGAAATGACTCCTGCTTGTTTGCAAACCAGCGAGGTTCGAACAAAGCTATTTTATATTTCTCCTCATGCTGAATTGCAGACCTTTGCTACAGTTAGTTCTGCCACAGTTAGTGTTGGGCTGTTTTTCGTAACTGAAAGGAAAAGTTTGGTGCAATTGATGCTCTTTAACTTTTATTCTTGCCTGCACCTCTCCAAATAAGGGGCGATTCGTATGTTTTATATAGTCTCAGCCCTATATTTTATAACAATTCTTTGGAACTTTTGTATTTACCAGCCACCATTAAGCATTTGAGGGGAGGGGATGTCTTCTTTCTTTCTTACCTTTATATCCTGCTGGAAAGGCTATTTTACTTTTAAGGGAGGAGGAAATAGAAAGTAAAAAAATATCAGTGTGAGAGCTTGATTGTTTAGTAAGGATTTGTGCCTGGGTTTCCACACGCAAACCAACCTCTCTAGCCCTTGCACCACACTTACTTTTCTTAGTGTGCCTCCATTTTGTATGTCACGATTTCAGGTTTATTGTCTTTTTATTAATACACGGCGAATAATGATTTCTTAACAACGGTGACCATTTTGGGGAATTACACTGCTGCGACGCTGGCAATAGGCAGTTCCTGCCAAACCAAACAGCCAAAGCCAATCAGATAATAGAGACATGGTGATGTCACTTGTTGCTAGGGAGAAAAGTGTTCAGAAAATTAATATCCATACTTTAACATTATAGCAGACTTTCTGTCCCGCATGTTGAGTTATATGGAGCTAAACTATACTGGAGTTGGATTTTTATTTTTAAAGCAACAAGCATTATATTCTGCTTATTGAATCAGATCACATTTAAAGCGAGTAACCCGCTTGGGCTGTCTAGACTTGAATTTACATGACAGAGTATAACTGTTAGAACTTCACTGTTTCATAGAATTATAGAATCAGAGAATTGTACAGTTGAAATTTACCCTGAGGTACCAACCCCTGTAATGCAGGAATCTCAACTAAATAATGCCTGATAGCTGGACATTCAATCATAGCTGTCAATGTTTTCCCTTTTTTAAGGGAAATTCCCTTATTCCGAATAGGATTCCTTGCAAGAAAAGGGAAAGGTTGACAGCTATGCATCCAACCGCTGCTTTAAAATCTCCAAGGAATGAAAGTCCACAGCCTCCCAGGGCATGGGCGTAGCCAAGAGGGGGCAGGAAGGGGCAGCTGCCGCCCTAAATCAAGTAAATCAGTACAAAATACTTCACTAACTGAGGTTCTCCCCCCCCCCAACATAAAGCCTGCCCCGCAAGTCCCAAGAGAGTCGTTTCCACTATCAAGCAGCTCTTACTGCTAGAAAGTTCTTCCTGGTGTTTAGTCAAAATCTTCTTTCTTGTAACTTGAAGCCATTGGTTTGGGTCCTAGCCTCCAGAGCAGGAGAAAACAAGCTTGCTCCATCTTCCATATGACAGCCCTTTAGATATTTGAAGAAGGTTATCTCCTCTCAATTGCCACTTTTTTACCAGGCGAAACATACTCAACCCCCTCAACCATTCCTCATAAGGCTTGGTTTCCAGACCCTTTATTATCTTGGTCACCCTCCTCATGTTCCAGCTTGTCAATATCCAGGGCTTTTTTTGAGTTCTGGCACCTCTCAGGTGGGAACCGTTCTAAGAGAACAAGGGAGGAGTTCATGGTGAGTTCCACCACCTCTTTCTTCAGAAAAATAGCACTGTGCGATATCCATCTTAAGCTGTGGCGCACAGAACTGGACACAGTATGCCTGGTATGGTCTGACCAAGGCAAAATAGAGCTTGACTATAACTTCCCTTGATGATGACTCTTCACTTCTGTTGATGCAGCCTTTAGGGTTTGTTTGTTTGTTTGTTTGTTTGTTTGTTTGCTGCATCACACTGTACCTTCTGGTAGATTAAGCAGGTGCTGTAAATAATTGGGAACTGTTTTTAAAATAATATTGATTATTGAGAGTATTAATATAAAACAGCCCCCCCCGCACTGTATTTCAGGATTCGATTTAGATTTTTGTAAACACCATGTATTCTGCAAATAGGATTAAGAATTTCTGTTTAGCATAATATTCAGTCCCATTGCTAATATTAAACAGCCAATCCAAACATCTCTTCCATTAAAACAAAAAACAAAATCCTGGTTTTCTTAGCGACCACTAAATACTAAGTATTTTTTTGGTGTGAGGATCTGTTCCTACCCCCCCCCCTTACTCTTTTTTCCCCTGGCCCGAAAAGTTACTTTACTTTTGAGGGAGGAGAAAATGGAATGCAACTGCTTTCCCTTTTCCTACAGATGCAGTTACTGTGTTACTTGTTTCCCTCAAGAAACTCCAAAATACAACATTTTAGCATCATAACAGCCCCATAAAATTGTCTGGGTTAAAGAGCTGAAAAAAGACCTAGTAAGCTTGATTTGAACCTGGGTTTTCACATGCAAGCCAACCTCTCTAACCCCTGCACCACACCTACAAAATGGAGGCACACTAAGAAATGCATGTCATGTTCTCAGGTTCCTTTTCTTTTCATTTTTATATGGCGAATAATGATTTTTTAACAACAGTGACCATTTTGGGGAATTACCGAAGCCAATCAAATAATAGAGATATGATGATGTCACTTGTTACTAGGGAGAAGGGTGTTCAGAAAGTTAATATCCATACTTAAACATTATAGCAACCTTTTTGTCCTACAGGATGATTTACATGGCGCTAAACTGTACTGGAGATGGATTTTTTGTTAAGCAACAGGCATTACATTCCTCTCTGAATCAGATCCAGAACATTTAAAGCGGATGAATTTAGCTAGGGTTTTTAAATCTTGAATGTACATGACAGGGGACATAAATAATAGGACTTCAATGTTTAGTAGAATTATAATTCTTCTGATTGAATAATAAGCTGCTGTGAGTGATTGAGTACTCTTTCTAAAAGTTAATTGTTGTTAATAAAAGTACTCACAAAACAATGTGTGCGACAGTTAAGAGATTACGGTAATATGCCATTATAGCAAAGCTTGCTTGTTACAGAAAAGGTAGAAGAGAAGCATAACAAACGTATTTAGAACTACTAAACATTTGTTGATTCTTGGCACTAGAACATATTTTCAAAATGTTAGTTATTTATCTGAAATGTTGCAAATGATTGATTTATATTTAACTGTGTTTGTGTTTATGGTTATATGAGAATTCAGTTGGAAATATCTGCATTTGTGTTTCATTTTAAAGCAAATAAACCTTTTTCTTTTTTTAAAAAAATGGCATCATTCTCCTTTTAATCACAGAAATGAGTATTTCTCAGGGGGTATCTGCCGCACATAACACATGCATGCACCATTTGAAAGAGAACACTTTGTTGTGTGTGTTAAAGTTGCTTTATTCATGTGGAGATTAATGCGAATTTACTCGACTGAGTAAAACGCCTATGATTGATCAACTGTCAAGGTATCTTTAATCTGGTGACAGCCCTAATAAATACAGGGAGAATTATTGATGTAACTGAAGGTCAAACTTCACATTACAACAGACATGCCTAAATGTGTCTCCATCTCTTTAAAATGTAGCTGTGGGGAGGGGAAAGGGGACATCGAGAGAGACTTCCAGTATGGAACCACAGCATATGGAAAAGAATTATCCCTTTCCCCTTTCACTATTTCCCCAATGAACTTCCCCCACCCCACCCAAATTGCTACTTACCCATTAATAAAATCATACTTAAAAAAAGAATCAAAAATCAATGAGGCTCATAGCAGCTTCAGTGTGCCTCCTGACTTACTTGCATTGAGCTCCTCCATGTAAGGGGTGGGCTGGATTGGCTTAGGGAACCCCCTGCTCCACTGCTAATGCACAAGAGATCTACATTCCTGTACTGTACTGGTATGCATGCAGAATCCCTTCATACGCACACAAGGAGATCTGTGGCCACGTGGCATATCCATGTATCCATGGGCTAGTCCATGTATTATTTGAATGTGGGTGCGGGGAGGTTTCTCTGAGCCCCACTGTTGTGATGACTAATCATAATTATGCGCAGTGCTTTTTTTCCTTTAAAAATGTTTAGGGGTATTCTCATTTTGACTCAAGAAAGCAACCGTTTTATAGTTCAAATCAGGAAAAATACAGTAAATGGACAAAAGTACAAAGATTCACAAAACGTTTAGGGGTATGCGTACCCCTGCGTCCCCCCAGAAAAAAGGCACTGATTATGTGATACAAGTGAAAACACTTTTATTCTGATGCAATCTACAGGCTGCAAGAGTGGGGGGGGGGAGAGAGAATTCCTGCAGGGGGTTGTACTAGATGACCCTTGGGGTCCCTTCAAACTCAACAGTTCTATGATTCTAATTACATACACACACACACACACAAACGCACTTGTATAATTATTGCAATCACACAGCTTTTACTGCATTAAAGCCTATGGCATTAGATCTCCAAACATTTCTTACTTTTCACGTTCTGTCTGCCTAGCAACAAGTGAGGTGACAAGCAGAACAGATAATGACTGGCTACAGCTTGGGAATTTCCCCCACGGTGTTTTCCATCAGGGTGAAGGGCTGTTAAATACTGTATGAGTAGCTTGGGGAAAAGGAACTGTAAAAAGGGAATTGCGGTCCTGGTGGAACCAAGGGGAGAATCCTGATAAGCAGATGTTGAGCACATCCTGTCTCTTATCTTGCACTCAGGAATTAATCTTAAATTATGTAGAACTCTTCTATTTAAAAAGTTAACTGGATAACTGATTTCCAGACTGTGTTTTGGGGAACCATGTGACTCCTCAGAGGCTTAACTGACAGCGTAGCTGATGTGGTGCCCTCCAGTGGTGCTGCAACTCTCATTATGCCTAGCCAGCATAGCCAATGATCACTTGCCATTATGCAGTTTAGAAGACCACCAGTAGTGATGGTCAAGTTGTCTGTAAGGAAGCTTGTCTACCATTCACTAAGCGTCTCACTTGAGGAATCTCTGATAAGCTGAGTAACCTCAAGTCTTCAGAATCATACCTTAGGACCAAAGATGGCAAGAGATCCAGGATCAGATTTCCCACACTAAAAAAAGAAGTTTAAAGAAGCAATGTGGGAGGAAGGAGAGGTGGCAAGAGCGAAGGTTTATCAGTTTCCCCCACAATTTAGATCCCTTCTCCCAGCTACATTTTGACCCATGTAAGAAAATATAAAGGCACACATATGTATTGCCATGTAGTGCAAACGTAAGCTTTGGAACTGGATACTTTTGATCAGGAAAATTGTATGTGTGTAACTCTTATTACCATGGCCCAACTCCACTTTCCCTCCTTTTCTATGGTTGTTGTTTATTAAAGAAATTTTAAATAAACCCATTTCACCTAATTTAGCCCTTAGTTAACCAAGTCAAAGCATTCTGATTGTGTTACAAGCCAGAGATATTCCGTCCCTTGGTAATTTGCATGCAGGTGAATCTAAACCTGTTCTAAGAAAATAAGCTCTCAACCTGGACATCTGGACCACTGATTGGACAAACTGACATGCCTCTTTTATATCTTGCAGGGGTTCTTCCAGCCGTAAACCCGTCTATGCTGCCTTTTCCATCCTGATAGCCTTGCTTATTGCGGGCCAGGCAGTGACTGGCTACTTTGTGTATCAGCACAACACCCAGATTTCCAAAGTAACCAAGACCGCCACTGAGCTGAAACTGCAGTCGCTGGCCAACAATCTCCCTCATGGTTAGTAGCTTCCTTCTTCCTCTTCCTGCCCTCTCCCCCACTCCTACACTGTCTAGCCTTTAAGTTTAACCATGATATATTTGCAAGCATTCTGAATTCTTAAAACATTTCTCAATTTTGTGTGTTAATTGTGCAAATCAGAGCTGAAGGGACTGAGCCTGGGTCTGTCAGCTGTTTATGCGCTTGAATCCCAATAGCCGTCTCCTGTCTGCTTAGATAGACAGACCAGATGATAGTTTACTATATTTATTAAATTTATATCCCACCCCTCCTCCCAAAGAAAGGAAAACAGATCTACAGATTCAGAATGCTGACATTTTAATCTGGGGTGCAGTCACCCTGTTCTGATCAGGTTTAGTCATGCTTATTGTGAGTTTTATAGCTTCAGTTTATATTCTGCTCTTGAGTTGCTTTCATGACTGTTATATATTGTACATTGACAGTTTATATCAATTTACAACTTATAAAAACATGTAAAGAAGCATTCTGCCCCTGAAGTCCGACACGGTACAACTTGGGCAAGGTTGTGCACCCTGTAGTTAGCGTGGATGAGTAGGTTAGTGTTGTCAGTTCTGCAAGAGCCCTTCGTAATATATTTGGATATGCGAAGGGGTATAGCTTGGTGGCAGCATGGTGTCCTCCATTAGTTTGAATAATCCTTTTTTCAAAGGATTATTCAAACTTTTTCAAAGGATTATTTCAAAAGCTATCTGAGCCTTTGGACAGTTTCAAGGGATTTCCCTCCCAGGCGTAGAGTTTGGAAAGCTGTTTCTAATATGAGATGGGGGGGATGTTTGCTACAAGTATAAGTTTCCATTTTTGAGTCCAGCTCAGACACCTTGATTGAAGTCATGAACTCTCTGTGCAATATAATTTGTACTCTTGTATGTTTGACTCATCTGTATAAGAGGAATATCCTTGGGGGAGACCACTTTTTTAAAAATCTCCCTACATGTTTAATTGCACCACTCTTTTCTCCTGCAGCTCCCAAGGCAGTTAACCAGAAGAGGATGGCAATGGCCAACATTATGCCTATGGTCATGAGGGACCCAGATGAAGAGGTAAAGATGACAATTGCTTAACTAGCACAGGGCGGGGTGGTGTTAGGGTTGCCTGCTGCCTCGGAACCTCTCCTTTTCATCCATACAACTTGCAGGGGATAGCTATGGATGAGGAGGAAGACATTCACTCTGTCTTCTGGGGCCTTTCCTTTCCAACCAGTCTGCCAATACAAAAACAACCCTCCTGGCTAGTATTGAAATGCTCCCAGCACCTAGACCTTACACCAGTGTTGGAAATAAACGTTAGGCTCTTGAAACTGACAGGTCCTGCCTCAAATTAAGCTGTGTAGAGAGATTCCATTTGAAACAGCAGCTTCAGAGCAGGGAGTGTGAGTTGGCTCTACTTGACATGAGTCAATGTGACATGAGTGAAGCTGACAGCCTATTAGGCCAGCTCTGTTCTCAGTTCTTATTTGGTCACTTTGCAGTATGCAGGAATGGTTCGCCAGGGAATTAGCCTTCCTTGTCAATGTTCCCTAGAGGTGGCGGCAACCAGGGAATGGTGCCAAAGCTGGTTTCGGGACACCCCAAAACCCTTGGGAGGAAGTTCATACTAATGGTTTGGATCCCGATTGAAGTTCATGTTGTTTCCCTTTAAGTCAACGATACTTAAATGAGATCTGGATCACAAAAAAAGTCACAACTAAATTTTCACGTTGAGTTCAAAGAAATCTGGTTGTAAGTCCATTGTATCTGTTGCAGTGTGTGAAGGACAGGGAAGAGCCCTTTTTGTAGTCTGCTCTGTGGGATTGGGCAAGGAGCAGCTTCATAGTGTGACAAAGGTTGCATGCCACCCCCAATCTATGCCAAGCGGTAGCAAGATTCCAGGGGTGTTCTGGGCACTCACCCAGGGCTGTGTTTCTGTTGGGAAAGCCATGGCACAGTGGAGGCTAGCGTCTTTAAGAAATAAGGTTTATCGTACACATATTTACACCTGGAGTCTTCAATGGAGGGGGTGCGGAACAGGACACCCCAAGAGTGTTTCTCATTGCCTCTCTCATAGCTTCGGGTTCAAAGCAGCAGTCAGTCATGCATGGGCATAGCCAAGGGGGTGGGTGGGGGCAGCTACCATCCCAATCAAGTAAGTAAATAAAAATACTTAGCCGACCAATCGTGTCACAGATAGCTCGGTTCTGCCCCCCCCCAACATAAAGCCTGCCCCCGTAACATAAATCCTGGCTACGCCCAGGCAGTCATGGCTCCTGGTCTCTCGGTGCAGCCTTCTCCGTCCAATGCCATCCATTCCTACATTTTCCTTGTTCCCAGAACACCTTTAGATTTCAAAAGGACAATTTTTCCTGTGATATCATGCCTCGATCACCTTGGTAACCTCCCAAATCGCCTGTCTTTGCCCACTCCTGGGGCATGGGGGGGGGAAGGATTGCTTTGTGCATTGTCAGTTGTCCTAAATGGCCCAGCACCTGACTCCCCATTGTTTCTCAATGACTCTGCACTTAGCTGGCTGCAGCAGACTGGTTTGCATAAGCTAACCCATGTCTGGCACAGTTCTGTAGCTTGCATTTCCCTTCATATTATCTAAATACTACCATTTATTAATTTCTACCATTCACTAACAGACTCTGGAATCCTAGATCTATTACGATATTTCAACTTCTTTGTTGTCGTCTCTTCTACAGTCTCCAGAGGATAAAATGAAGCTGACCAATAGCACTGAAGACCAGATCAAACGTCTACTCATGGTAAGAGCCTCGTCTCTTTGCCTGTGCAACAGTTTTGCTTGTCTTAGATGGAGAGTACTCAAGTTTGCAGCTATAGACTCAGCTGCTGGAGGCCTAGGGCTGAATCCCACAAAGTCATCCTGTTAGCCCCATAACTTCCACTTGCTCGATGGAACACCCTCTAGCACTCCTCTTCCTGTGGGCCTCCCAACCCACTGGGGCAGATTTGAAGAGGGAGGTAGAGGATGCACAGGTACAACTTTGTTCGCTGCATCTCATAGCACAGAACAAGATATTCTTTATGTTCCTAAAAATCACTAACATATTATTTGTTTTCCAACCACAGTATCTGACAGGTGTGTTTGTGTTCCCGGGAAGGATTGGGGATACGGCATTTATGCAGGGATCCAAATGAGGGAAGGGTGGACAGGCACATGGGTTTCCTTGCTTTTAGTGCACCAGTTAGTACTGCTAGATTCTTCAGCATGAAAAGCAGCAAGGCACAAGTGCAGCAACCTATGCCTTTCTTTCCCATGTGCCTATACCTCTTTAGATCCAAAGACTGTCATAGCATTAACTGTGAATAACGCACAGGTTCGGAACTACATATACACTTTGGAAACTTTCCTGCACCCAGAGAAGGCACTACTGTACCAATTAAATCTGCCATGTGTCCTGAACCCCTGACCTACCTGGCAGCAAGTCAGTATGCCAAGTTCAAAGCCCAATGGTCAATCCATATGAAGTCCAAAGATCAGGAAACGCAGTCCAGGGTCATTCCAAGTAGTCAAGTCCAGCAGTCAGGATACAGTCCAGAGCCAAACCCAAAGCACAGTCCCGTAGAGGTCCAGGAGCATCCAAGTCAATGAATATGGGCAGTTGAGCAGACAAAACAGCTCAGCTCTGCTTCCCTTTTATACTCTGCATGCTGATTGCAGCATCTGGGCTTGATGAGGCATGTGACCCTCACCTGTTCCAAGCCTACTCCAGCTGAGGAATCACACCCCTCCTCCCAGAGCTAGCGAGCCCCACCTGGCCAGCTAGTGAGCTGGGCTGTGGGTCCTTGCCTGCCTCAGCGTCCTAGAGCACCCCTCCTGCTGCCCCCTACGCCTCAGAGCCCACCATGTTCATGGAGACAGGGGCCCCTCTGGCTCTGGTGATGGGTCCTGCAACTCTGGCTCCTTGCCATCCCCCGTCACTCTGTGAGTACGTCCTTCCTCATCCCCTTCTTGCCCCGGTGTGTCCCAGCCCCAGCTACACCCCTCATCAGAATCCCCATCATCCTGCCAGTCAATGACACCAAATGACCTTGGAGGGCGCATGGCAGGCATCTGTTAAATGAGAAACTTAGATAAATTGGCATACTCGTAATATGGGGCTATGTGGACAAAGATGAATTAGATAATAGGGAGTTTAGATAAACATTCAGACAGTGAGAGTTTGTGGTGCATGCTGTGGATAATTATCATTAAATTTTAGGGAAAGCAAAGGCTTTTCTTTTTATCTCGGCTTCTCACTGGATGCACTTGCTTGCTTGTTTCTTTGTATTTTCCTCCCCAAAACCCATGTCCTGCCCAATGTCCCAAAGAAACCCAAGATATTTAGGAAATTGGCAGCAAAACACTATAACCCAAAAATAATTAAACCCAATAATACAACTATTGACAACATAAACAAATTTAACTGTTCCAAAACAGCCACCAGAATATGCAAAAGCTATGCCAGCGAAAAAGCTAATCAGTTGGCTTGTGGCTTGAAAGGACCCAAGGACAGGAGAGAAGTCCTCCTCACTGTTTGTATGTTCCCTTTGAAATCATTCTGCTGTGGCTGTTTTCCTCTTAAAAGGATTTGCATCCAAACTTTGAGCTTTCCAAGGCAGGGAGGAGCAGTCGAGGGAGGCAGCTTTAGGATGAAAGGTGGTGGGGGCAGAGATAGTTCAGCAATCCCTCCCACCTGTAGCTTTTGCCTGCCTTAGAAGATTGTGCTAGTGATTCAACTCCCACAAATGGGTCTGCTGCCATGCTCTCTGGTTGGACCTCACCATCACTGTATCTGGTTGAATTCATGAGATGGAGTTGGTATTTCACATGCCGCCAGTCCTGACCCAATCCTTTGAGCATAGTCTTGCTTTGCTAGGTGATCTCTTTCTGGGCCTCCAGCAGACTTACTTTCCTTACATAACGTTTGTTAACATGTTCCTCCCTACAGCAATCAAACCCTCTCATAAAATTTCCTGAACTGAATAAGAGCTTCATGGAAAATATGAATACTCTGAAGAACCGCTTGGATTTTGAGGACTGGAAGGTAAGTGCTGCCATCTTTCACAGAATCCTCTCCCCACCCCTCCCCGTCCTGAAGAGAACATGGTGTCACAGTGGATAGGCAATATCTCATTTAACAGATCATAGAGTTGGAAGGGACCACGAGGATCGCCTAGCCAGCCCCCTGCAATGCAGGAATATTTCACCCAATGTGAGGCTCGAACCCATGTCCCTGAGATTGAGTCTCATGCCCTAGAAGCTCTCTACCCTGTTAATTTTATTTGCCTTGAGGCTTATTCTTGTTGGAATCTAAGCCTTTGGAAGGGATCCTAGTCCTTCCCCTCTTGTGCTCAGGAAAAGAGTACAAGTATCCATTGTCACTTGCAATGCTTCCTAGTTTGCTCTTGACTGCTATCTAGTGTTTTGAGTTGTTCATGTGTGGGATTTAAATAGGCCTCAGTTAAACTTGCTAAATGCCTGAGATTCTAGGAATTATGTTTGGGAACTAACAGCAGGGAGTTCTTCCGTGAAGGGACCGCAGCGCCGGACTTCTGTTAATTATGCCAACAAAGCCTCAGGTTTATTAGTGTAGTTAAAATTGGCTGAACTATATCAAAGCCCTTTCCTGCAGTGTACAGTGGCGTTCACCCAGCAGTGAAACATATGGTGGACTTCTCATCATTTGGCAATTATACAGTTGTTAACTTACATTTATTTATTTGTGGATAGGGATGCCTTTTATTAACTGCATTTGATCTCTTGCAGTCTTTTGAAACCTGGATGCACAAGTGGCTGCTCTTCCAAATGGCCAAGAATGAGATTCCAGCTGAACAAGGTATGCAAGGACTGTAGCACTGAAAGGAATTCCAAGGGTGATGGACGCAAATTCTCTGAAGGGCTCAAATCACAGCACAACAGAAAACATTCCATTTTGCTGCAGCTTCAGATCCTAAAGAGATGCAGGAAATCATGTGAAACAAAATCCCAATGTACTAGAAACAGTACATTTCTGTAGGAGGGACTGAAAGGGCTCTGCTGCATGCCAGAAGACTAATGTTAATGTATGCTGATGACTTGGGGGTGGGAGGAGATATTATACAGGATGTTGAGCTGCTGCTGAAAATGATAGCCCTGTGTGGAGTTCCCCCTCTCTATTTTGGAACATAGACAGGACTGGCACCAGAATTTATGGAGCCCGCAACATGGTGCCACCCATGCCCCCCCTAAAACACCCTTCCAATGCAGCTGTGCCTTTTCTTTTTCTTTCATGGTAACGACAACACCACCAGTGGTGGGTGGTTTTATAGATGTATGGTCTGGGGCCTTATATTGTGGGTAAATAAAAATGGCAGATAGTCATCATGGATAGGAGCAGAGCTTGGCTCCCCTTCAAAAGCAGCACAACCACCCATCCACCATTAAAATGGCTTTCCAGAGGCCCAGTGAAGAAGGTGGCAAGGCAGCACAACAGGATTGGGCCGGCGGGGGGGCCTTCTGGGCCTCTAGGCTCCTTGGCCAGTGCCTGTCCTGGGCAATTGCTTGCGCTGGGCCTGAACGCAGAGCATTACTTAACCAGTGATACATCATCACGTGTTTCCACACAGCCCCAATTTAGAAGTACAGTGGTACCTTGGTTTAAGAGCAGCTTAGTTTATGAACAACTTGGATTAAGAATGCTGCAAACCCGGAAATAGGTGCTTTAGTTTGTGAACTTTGCCTTGGAAGCAGAACATCCTGTTGATTGTGTTCCATTTGTAAATTGAGTCCCCCGCTGCTATGGGAAAGCACGCCTTGGTTTAAGAACAGACTTCTGGAAAGGATTAAGTTCGTAAACCAAGGTACCACTGTAATGCACAGCACGAAGACATCACGACACAAAGTGGCTAGAAACTGTTACAGGTGTGCCTGTGGAGGAGAACGCAACACAGTGTTGCTCTTTGTGCTGGCGACTCCATGTCCCTTGCATTGGTATGGATCTGAAGGATCCTCTCATACAAGGGGGCACCTGCAATTTCTGCAGACTTCCCTCTTCACCTGCAGTTCCCCATCCTACATCTCATTCAGCTTTTCAGGGGCACAGGGGGCTGAAATGATGGGAGGGAAGCAGCGAATTTGCATTAACCTGAGAACTCCCACAGTTGGTTGGATCCAGCCCAATGCACAGCCCCACTAGCCTCAAGCAAGCCAGGGTGTGAGAGCCACTCACAGGCAATGCTCCCCCAGCTGGAGTTCATTTGCAAGTATAAATCTAGTAATTAGTTGGCGAAAGCCTTGTAGCTCCAATTAACCTGGCAAGCTTTGGGCTGGGGGAAAAAGACTGCTCACCCTTAACACAAAGACCACCCAAGCCCAGTATTCTCACTTCCAGCTGCAGTTCATTCACTATTTCTTGGCCTTTCTACGCAAGGCACAAAGGTTTAGCTCTACAACGTATTTCAGAACGTTGCTGCAGAAGGAGGCTGCTGAAAGGTGCTGCCAGAAAGGGTTACCCACCTGGGTGCAATTCCTTGGCCAGGGCCACCTATTTTCAGCGGCAAATCTAAGCACTCGAAGAGCGATTCCACACGGCTGTTTACTGTTCACTAGACACTGCTCACGCATGCAACTTCTGTGCAGCATCCAGTTGGTGTTTGATCCATATCCACTGTTTCCAGAGGGTGGATGAGATCACGGAATGGCATTTCGATGAAGATGGCATCCTGTGGATGCCACAAAGAAGGGCATGCATGAACAGCACCGGGTCCCCAGTGAGCTGCTGTGTGCTCTCCAAGTCCCTTCCAGTATAAATTTTGTGACTGGAAGAGTTGGGAATGTGCTTAATACGATAATCCTGTATATGCCTCTTCAGAAGTAAATCCCAAGATGCTCAGTCAGACTTATTGCCAGGTGAGTGTGTATAGGATTGTGGCGTATGTCTCTTTCCTTATAATCAGTGCAACTTAAAAGTGCTTAATTTTGCCTGGGCTGGATGAATCCCAAGCTGGAATTGCCTGGGCTGGATGAATCCCAAGCTGGAATTAAGATTGCCGGAAGAAATATCAACAACCTCAGATATGCAGATGACACAACCTTGATGGCAGAAAGTGAGGAGGAATTAAAGAACCTTTTAATGAGGGTGAAAGAGGAGAGCGCAAAATATGGTCTGAAGCTCAACATCAAAAAAACGAAGATCATGGCCACTGGTCCCATCACCTCCTGGCAAATAGAAGGGGAAGAAATGGAGGCAGTGAGAGATTTTACTTTCTTGGGCTCCATGATCACTGCAGATGGTGACAGCAGCCACGAAATTAAAAGACGCCTCCTTCTTGGGAGAAGGGCAATGACAGGCCTAGACAGCATCTTGAGAAGTAGAGACGTCACCTTGCCAACAAAGGTCCGTATAGTTAAAGCCATGGTTTTCCCAGTAGTGATGTATGGAAGTGAGAGCTGGACCATAAAGAAGGCTGATCGCCGAAGAATTGATGCTTTTGAATTATGGTGCTGGAGAAGACTCTTGAGAGTCCCATGGACTGCAAGAAGATCAAACGCATCCATTCTTAAGGAAATCAGCCCTGAGTGCTCACTGGAAGGACAGATCGTGAAGCTGAGGCTCCAGTACTTTGGCCACCTCATGAGAAGAGAAGACTCCCTGGAGAAGACACTGATGCTGGGAAAGATGGAGGGCACAAGGAGAAGGGGGCGACGGAGGACGAGATGGTTGGATAGCGTTTTCGAGGTTACCAGCATGAGTCTGACCAAACTGCGGGAAGTAGTGGAGGACAGGGGTGCCTGGCGTGCTCTGGTCCATGGGGTCACGAAGAGTCGGACACGACTAAACGACTAAACAACAACAACAACAACAAATTTTGCCTTGTACTCAAAACATGGAAACATATTTGACTTCTGTTGGCTCACCTCCATTAGCTCCCTCCATTAGCTTCTGGCCCTTGTTTAGCTGCTGGCTTCCATATGGATGGTCTATCTGCAGGAACATTGCCCAGTCCACTAGCTTCTGTGTCGTAAGAGATCTGCTGTGCAGACCTTGGTTTTTTGGGGTATGGTTTCCTTCTTTATCTCAATTGAAAACTCATGGGGCCAAGAGTAGGGCACTCTCAACAGTGGCACTGCAGCTCTGGATTTCAGAGAGGCCTTCCAACAACTTCTGTATCGGTTGTCTAGGTATGGAACATCTTTATACTGTACAGTTGTTTGTTACATTTTAAACAAATTCTGCATTGCCTTGGCTGCTGTTCTACACTGAGGGACCTAATAATGAAAACAGCAAAAAATGAATGTCTTCCTTGGCAGAAGATGTGAAAAACCTGTTTCGACATGTTGTGATACTGACCATTTTACTACTGAAATATGCTTGATGTAGAGCAGTGTTTCCCAACCTTGTGCCTCCAGCTGTTTTTGGACTACAACTCCCATCATCCCTAGCTAGCAAGACCAGTGGTCAGGGATGATGGGGATTGTAGTTCAAAAACAGCTGGAGGCCCAAGGTTGGGAAACACTGATGTAGAGCACAGCTTGAGCCCAAAGCCACTTGCTGTCTCTTAAAAGGAAACAGTGGCTGCAAAAGGGAGCTCTCTGCTGACTTGCAATTCAATGAACGAGGTCTTCATGTTACAGAACCACTGGTTTTTAAAAAGCCTCTTTTCGCTCATCACAGCAGAAGCAAAACACGGTCTGCCCCTGGGAAGAGTGATTGGCAAAGAGCAATTCATTTGAAACTGCAATTATCTAAGCTAAATGATGCACCCATGATGAAAGAAGACCTGTTGTTTGAATTAAGGCCCACTTCAAATACTTTTTTTAAAAGAAAAAGGAAACCCTACTGAAATAATTTTAAGTCACACACAGAGAGAGGGAGAGCCTTATTAATGACACACAGTCTTGAATTTGGACACCAACATGGTCAACCACTTTCCTGTCCCAAATTTGGGCACCAATGCAATGCTTAAAAAAAGAATGATTCCTCCTTCTGTGATTTCAGCTGTTTCTGAAATAAAAGCCCGCAGCCGAGATTTTCATACCAATTAGCCACTCAGCAGTGGTCGGACACATTCCCATTAGCAGAATTTATATTAATACTGCCTCCATTAAGCAGTACTCATTAGCATTTGCTCTCATTAGGCTAAATGGGTTCCCTGGGAGCCATCCCAATAAAATAGCTGTCCTAATTAAACGGGCATATTGTTACAAAAAGCAATTCTTTCCTCACATCCCCCCTTTACTTTCCCATGGTGCAGCCACAATGAAACAGCCTTTTCTCATATTAGGAGGCAGTTGATACATTCAGCCAAACCAAAAAGGATTGCTTCTCCTGGACTTTCAATTTCAAAGCTGCTTCTGTGGAGTTGGGGAATGCTTCCAGCTGTGCTATTTTTCTATAAGCGGGGAGCATTCAAGTGTTTGGTGCCATCTTACCACCTGAAGTGCTATGGTGCAGGGAAAGCTTTACCTCTGAACTTAGCCATATGTCTCAAGCAAGGCAAGGGAGCTGTTCAGTTGTAGTTACTTACAGTTGCATCAAAGGGCAGTGCTAGCAGCTGGCAGTCAACTGTGCACACTGAAATTTCTGTTTTTGTTTTGTTTAAAGTGAAAACCAGGTGCCAGACAGAAGAATGTGGTCGGGGTGTCCACCTGGGAAGATTCTGTGCCAAGTGCGATGAAAATGGCGACTATCTGCCTAAGCAATGCCATGGTAGCACTGGCTTTTGCTGGTGCGTCTACAAAAATGGCACCATGGTTGAGGGCACTACTAAAGTCCGTGGGCCACTGGACTGCACTGGTAAAGAGCTTCTGTTTCCTATCAAGGGGGAAAGGAGTTAATAAGCAAGCAGATGTCCTTTATATTCTTGAGTAAACTGGATTATCTAGAGTTAGGGAGCAACATCTTAATGGCCCAAGTCCTAGGAGCTAATGAGTCTCTCCCCCCCACCCCCACCCCGACCTGGACTTGAGTCCTAAACACAGCCAGAGTGTTTGCAGTGCAACAGCCATTGTTGCAGCTGTAGCAGTGTTCTTTCCTTTTTCTAAATAGAAGAGATGAAGTCAGGCATTGGAGTTTTTGGGGATATATAGGCAGGGTGGGCTGGGGTGCTGCGATTCCCAAGAGTCGCAACACAACTGTGTGTGAACCACATTGACTACTTTCCACATCCACCATGCCAGACTTTCCTAAGAAGCTCTTATTACATAGGCAGTGCAGTTAGAGCAATTTTGCCTAGTTTTGCACAAAATACTTTGGTGACAGAATTTGGGTCATCTGGTTGTGGAGCCAATACTTGTTGCTGCCAAATTCACATTGTTTTTCCTTGCTTGGAAGATAAACCCACTTTGATTTCTGCATGCGTGCGCCTTATGTTCCTTGTGGCTTCACCATGGGGATGGTGTTTGGTCAATATTACGAGGCAACTTGATGTGAAAAAATAGCCTTGTTAGTTGCACTTAGTCTTGCTTGATGAACTTACGTCATTCTCTTACCACTTACATTCTCTTACCTTGTCATTCTCTTACCATTCTCTTACTGAACTTATGTCATTCCCTTACCACCACCACCACCCACATCAAGAAAGAGAGAAGACTGTTGTGAACAGTTAAGGAAGTTTCCCCTATCTTTGCGCTTCAGATTTCTACCTGATATCTGCCCCTGAGTAAGCTTTTTCCAAATGTAACAAGCAAATGCAACAGCCATGGCAAATCATTTAAAACATTATGACCTTACAGCGCATAGAAATCTCAGAAAACCCAACATCTTCATTTGTGTCATTATCATTATGCCAATCTAACACATTCTCAAGAAACAAAACAAAACTTGGAATTAGTCAAATGGAAAAAAAAACCAGAAAAAAATTATTGGAATTAGTCACAGCCTATGCAGAAAAAAACTTAAATCATAAGAACTCTGCTGGATGAGGCCAATGGCAGATCTAGCCCAGCACCCTGTTCTCAGAGTGGCCAACCAGATGCCTAAGTAGAATCTGAGTAGAACAGCCATCTCCCTAATGGTGATTCCATTCAACTTGCATCCAGAGGGATAGTGCCTCTCAAAAACCATAAAACCAATATATACCCACTTGCCATTAAGTACACAACTTTGCGTTGTTGAATGGACTAAAGATACAAATCGTTCAGTGCCCATTTGTCAGATTTCAAATGACCTTTCTCTCTACAGACAGTGGAAAATAATATGTCCAAATGTTAATAATTTTGTGTATTACTAAAAATAATAATAAGATAGATGAAAAACAAACAATTGTGCTGCTGGCTGAACATGAGAAAGCACAAACTGGTAGGAAGCATCCTAAAGGTGATGTGGAAAGAAGAGGACATCTTAGGGCATTGGAAAGTGCTAATCTCTCTCTCTTCTCCTCCCTTTTCCAGGAAAAGGGCAACTGGTGAACGTGACAGCTGGTGATACTGAGAATGTGACAGCTTCTCAGCTGAGCTTCAGTAACTAAATGATTGAGGTAACTTAAGAATTTTGCTGGCTCAAACCAAAGACCTGTCTAAGCCCACCATTGTTTTACCCCCATAGTGGCCAACCTGATGTCCATAGGGAGCCCACAAGCAGGAGATGAGGATCATAGCACTCTCTCTGTTGTTCCCAATGACTGGCAAATCAGAGGCATGGTGACTCTGATCCTAGAGGGAGCATACAGTCATCATGGCAGGAGCCATTGATCACCTTATCCTCCCTGAAAGTAGCTGGCTTAGTTCAGGAGAGCCTAGGAGTTCACCTTGAAGGCACCTTTCATTTCAGTGCTGGTGTTCTCAGCTACATACACAAGAGAGCAAGCCAAGTACTTTGTTTTTAAACTTGGGTGCCTTTTTTAAACAGTCTGTACAGATTGAATAGGGACGCGGGTGGCGCTGTGGGTTAAACAGCTTGGTCCCAGCTCCTGCCAACCTAGCAGTTCAAAAGCACGTTGAAGTGCAAGTAGATAAATAGGTATCGCTCCTGAGGGAAGGTAAACAGCGTTTCCGTGCGCTGCTCTGGATCGCCAGAAGCGGCTTAGTCATGCTGGCCACATGACCCAGAAGCTGTACGCCAGCTCCCTCAGCCAATAAAGCGAGATGAGCGCCACAACCCCAGAGTTGGCCACGACTGGACCTAATGGTCAGGGGTCCCTTTACCTTACAGATTGAATGGGCCACACAGTTCCTGCAGTTGCCAAGGCCTTCTATGTGCAGATAGTGGCACATCCAGCCTCTGCCTATCTTTTTTTAAAGCCTGAAATACAGATATTCTCTAGGTGTCAAAGGCAGAGTGGGTTTTGTGGGGGGGGGGTGTGCATGTGGAGAACGATAGGTATACAAGCCAAATTAGGATACCTCCCCACCTCAAGGCCTAACAATTAAAGGCACCATTAACTTTAAGGGGGAGAACAACACAAGTTTTGTGTGGGTTGGCTTTTTGTGTACTTTCCATCAATTTCTGCCTCTATTACTAGGAAACATTTCTGGGGCTTGACTTCTAATGCACCTTTCTCTTCTTTCTTTAGGAATGCCAAGCAAACAGGGCAGGCAGTAGCACCAGCTGCATCAGCTCAAGAAGCCCAGCTTATCTTCTCCAGTTTGCTCTCGTTTTTTTGCTTCTGTATTGATTTCCTGAATTATGTTAGCCGCAACCACTTCTCAAATTCCTAGGCTTAAGCATTATCCTTAATGGAGGAGGGAAAAGTAGGTTGATTAAATATAATAGCCTGCTGATCTGAGCCCTGAATTACCTTTTTAGAGAAGTAACCCTTGTACAACCACAGCTTTAGCAGCAAAATGCTTCAAGCAAGAAAGGGTGCTGTTTTCCTCAATTATTCAGCTCATGCAGAGAGGATCTCCCCCCCCCCCCGAATAAACCCTGCAGTGATTCTTGTGGCTAATCAGGCTCCATGAATAGGGGAACATTTACTGAATGTATGTGAATAACAATAGGATTCTGAGACAGTGAGCACATCTTCTGCAATGAAATATCTGTTTCCCTCAAATGGGGGTGGGGGGGAGAGAATATAAAATTGTTTTCCAAATATATTCTTCAAAGGTTTATTACTCTATGTTTAATTCACCTTACTCTTTCCCCACTGGATTCCTCCTGATTTTAGATAAGTCTTACAAGAGGTAGAAGATTTCTACTGAACCCTTCATTTATTTGTTCTTTGGTGATCACTCGTAGCCGAGTAAGGGTGCCTTCCATGAACACAGTCTTAACAGTGAGGCTGTAAGTGACTGTGGAGCCCAGTTCTGGATCCACACGTCCTTCCACAATGGGGACATAGGTTTCCAAGCAGGAGCTGATCGTGGCGAGGGGTTGCCAAACGTTTCTCCTTTTTGCCCTAAGTTTGTGCTTCTTTAAAGGGAAATTATTGAGTGTTCTTTACATAAATGGATATGAACTGCTGTCATCCTGAGTCATGCTAGCTGGGGCTGATGGGAATCAGGGTCCTGATGGTCTAGAGGAATGGAGGCATTACCTTATGTAAGGTTTAAATATAGTTGTGAATCCTGAAACCCCAAATGCTGTACCCTATGGAGTTGGTTGTGTACCCTTTGCATTTGCTAGCATAGCCCTAGAACTTGCTTTAGTAGAGTTTCTAGCAAGAGAATACTGGAATTGTAGGTAAGGCTATATAAATCTGGGCAAAGAACAGGCTTCTCCCACATCCAAAGCAAATATAAGTGAATGTTTCTTCAATTACACAAGCAAGCCAGCAGAGTGGATATATATGAGTGATAGATGATAGACGAGCACCCACGCTTATGACATACTAATTATACCATTTGAATATATGATCATTGCTTTATTAGTGAACTCAAAGATGATTTTAACTGTAAGTCTTTGTAAAGTTAAAAAAAATAAAAGATAACCTACTAATACGGGGCTCTTGTCCATAGAGGTGGATGACTAAGAGAAGACTCCAATTAACTGGTTAACAACCAAAGGGAGAGAAACGGAACATACATTTCCATAAACCTTCCTGTGAAAACCACGAGGGCTGGAAGCTTGGCTCTCTTTAAGAACGAAACAAACAAACCACAAAGACATGAGCCGGTTCAACACAACATGACAGCTGTGTGCAGCTGACCAAATCCTTCGGAATTGTTTAGCTGCAGCCAAGAGATTTACACATTTTCAGTTTCCAAATAACACACATGTGGTTTTCCCAGTTACTATGGTTTTATTGTATACTATTATTTAAAAAAAGAAAGAGAGGGAGAGAAAAGTACAAGAGAAAAAGCCAACCTAGAATCAAGAGGGTTTTGTACATATTGAACACAATTTCTGGATGGACATTGCAGAGACATCAAACTTCTTCCTTTAATGTAGTATGAAAAGAGGGGGAGGCGATCTTTTCCTTTAAAAAATATAACTCTTAAGGGTTGGGATTGGGTGAAGGAGGAAGTAGAGATAGCCGTAAAAGTAATTGCTGGATTCAGGATTGAATAATCAAAGGTGTTTGTCTTCCTCACATTCCGTCAGTTACAGTAGCTACATCTTCTCCATTGGCCAAGCAATCGGGGCATGTCTTATTCCCAAGCAAATAGCCAGATCAACTGTTAGCAATGCTTAGCTCTAAAAGTCACAGTTAAAAATCGTTATAAATACTGGAATCAAGTCTTTGACATTCCCATTTTCTTTTCTTTAAAAATATAAACAAACAGTTTCTTTCCCTTGAATGCTCCCAGCATATTTTTATTCTTTACTTCGTGCTTTAAGCCACTACAGGAAAGGGAGAGAGAGAGAAAGAAAGAACACATTAAAAATAAAAATAAAAACTACTGCAAAGGAGGGAAATTCTGCCAATGACAGATTTGTCAATGAATAGGAAAATAATTTTTCAAATGCATCACAAGCATCTTTTCTCACCCTTGTGTTAATGAGGTACTATCACTGCTACCAACCAGCAGAAAACACCAATGACCCAGCTCTACCCTAGAGCTATTTGACTTTTGCAGAGGAGGAAAGAAGATGAAAGAACTTGAGGTACTTGAAGATACGATTTATTTCAGGCCTGACACATTCCAAAATAAACCTCCTTCAGAGCACACATTTTTAATGCCAATTCTCATTGAGAGCCTAACCCACTATAAAACTGCTATCGCTACGGAACTGCGTTAAATCCTTATCAGAGTTCTAAGTGGCTTTATGCCTGTTTCCCCAACCCTAGTGCCCTCCAGATGTCTGGACAATTCCCATAAAGTCTGGCCATTGGCAAAACTGACTGGGGCTGATGGGAGTTGGGAGCCCAAAAACATCCGGAGAGCGCCAGGTTGGGGAAATCTGGTTTATGCTCTTGATAGGAATTTAAAGCCATAAATTAAAAATGCAATTAAAAACAACCCAAAAACCTAGAACAGAATCATCTTCGTAAACTAAAAGTGATCCTGGAAGGAATAGTCCCAGCTGCCGGGGGGGGGGGGGGGGGGTGCAAGGCACAGGTGCCCTCCCAGAAATCAATAAAAATACTTAACTGAGGTTCTGCCCCCCTGAACAGGAATCCTGGCTAAGCCCATGCCAGCTGCCTTGAATGAGAGTATTTCCTAAGCAAAAGGCTCTAGCCAGAGAAAAAGAGCCATCGGAATTTGCCAAGTTGACATGAACTAATTGGCAGAATACTTTAAAAAGATACTTACCGGCTCATGCTGCTCCCTCAAGATCACCAGTTTTCTGAAAGAAATCCAGAACAATTTAGGTCTGTTGTTGTTTTTACGCCCCCACCGCCCCAAGAACTGGCACTGCCTCCAACGTCCTTGGCTCCCTTCGCAGTACAGAGAACACAGACCCAGTTTCAGATGGTGAAACAGGTCCTTCCAGTTCTTTCTAGGCTCAGCCACGCATGCAACCATCTCTCCTGCTCCCAATCTCAAATGCTGGCAAAATAAGACTTAATTCTCCGTTTAAGAAACACAAAGCATGCTGGGAAAGGGCACCTCAAATCTTCAGTGCTCCGGTGCAAAACTTAATTCTGGGGTGGGTGGGAAGGGTGTCAATCTCAAGCTCGTTTGGACTAATGGAAATTTCAGACTCCCTTGAAGAAATTATGTTAGCTCAGGGCAAAGTGCTCGGTTCAGGCCCATATTCTGGAGAGTCTGGGCAACAGTCAAAGCACAATAACTCATACCATCCTGTCAGACAAATTAAGTAGCTCTAGCCTGGCTTTCACCTCACAGCCTAGTTTAGCTTTTAGGCCATATTCCAGACAACCAAGCAAAAGAAAAACTACTGCTATGCAAGGCTGAACCGAACTGTGTGTGTGTCACACCACCCACCTCAAGACCCTTAAACTAGTCTCCTGCTCTCAGGTATAGTGGAGAAAGCCACCCTGCCACCTGTGTTGAAGAAATCCCCAGCTGCCAAACAGACTGGCTTCTATAGATGGAATTGGGAGGAGGGGATGCCATCAAGTGGCAAAATGTCTTGGGAAAGCCCTGATTTCCCCCCCCCCCGCCTCTTTTTTAAAGGGATTGCTTCATGAGCGATAAATGCATCCCACAGCCACGTAACCTAAAGGTAATGAAGTTTAGGAGGAAGCAAAGTTTCTTGCAATGCAAGTTTCCTATGAGCGGTGTCACATGCCAGCACCGCATCTTACAGTATTAGAATGTACCGCGGATTTGAATACGGCAAAATAGTAAAAAGCTAGTTACTGAAATAGAGTATTGGCAGTCTTTCACTCATGTGGCAAGAACAAGTTATCTGAAACTAGCTGAATAATTTGGTTTTGGACCAAGTAAATGAACCCAATGTACAGACAGCACTGTATCCCATTGTACTTGACTTTTGTTAAAAACTCCAAGATAAGCAAAGTGAAAAGCTCCTCACAGCACTCACAAGGGACACAATATAGTTATGGACAATATATGCATCCACCTGTATGTGTATATGTGTACATATATACAGTCGTACCTCAGAAGCTGAACAGAATCTGTTCCGGAAGTCTGACTTCCAAAACATTCGGAAACTAAGGCACGGCTTCCGATTGGCTGCAGGAAGCTCCTGCAGTCAATTGGAAGCCGAAGAAGCTGCGTCGGACGTTCGGGTTCCAAATAAAGTTCGCAAACCGGAACACCCCCGGGTTTGCGGCGTTTGGGAGCCAAAACGTTCGACTCACAAGGCATTCGGGATCCAAGGTATGACTGTGTTTGGGAGTGAGGGATGCACGTGTGAATGTGCCCCAGTGTTAAAATTTCCCTATACACACATAACTAGGGCGGGGAAAGAGAAACTGAGCTGAAAAATTCACTTTCAGAGTGTTTTCAAGCTGTACAGTAAGATGGACAATAGGTCTTCCTTCTCAGGGATACAAGGAAATAGGTGGAAATAAAGCCACTCCACTAAAACAAAATTTAAGAAGACCGACAAGACTGTTAACATGGGGCGGGGTGTCACCTGCATTCTTTAATCCTGTATTTGCATCATTGATATGGGTTTGTTGTTTCTACACCCCCTGCATATAATCCTTAAGCTAAGGAATGCCTCTGACAAGGCTGTCTCCTAGCAACTTTGGAAATATGTAGACCAAATTGCCTAAGTATTCTAGGCTGCAGTCACACCTGGTTTTGGAAAAACAGCATAGTCCTGGATATGCTGTAACCATAGTTCAAATGCAAACAACCTAACACGGATGGAGCAATCCTGTATAAGTCTACTCAGAAGCAAGCCCCATTAAGTTCAAGTGCTTACAGACAGGTTTACCCATCCAAAAAAGTTCTCTAGTGTCCTGTTACCTTCTTTTTCTTCTTCTTCTTTGATCCATCTGCGGTAAGAGACTCCAGCTTTTTGCTCTTCTTTTTCTCTATAAAACAATTATGCAAGAAAGAAAATAAGAACCTGTTTTTTTAAATCTTGAGGTCAGACAAATTATTAGCCAGTGTAATCAAGATCTGCTTGGCTCTCCATAAACAGGGGAGACTGTGGAAGAACAAGCTCTTCAGTCCTGAAAGCAATCTCATTCAGCTATGTGGGATCGTTTCCTAGGTTAAGAAAAGAACTACATTTAGGTAACAGCATAAGAAGGCAACTCTCATCACCCCCGACCTTTGGCCATGCTGGTTGAGGCTGATGGGAATTGTAGGTTGGGAAAGACTGGGGAAGGGGGGAACAAAGGCATGTTCCCATTATTTAGAGAAAGCACTTTCCCATTACAGATGAATCCTCTTTGGCAAGGAGAGTCCCTATACAAGGGTTTCCATCATTCACAATGACCCTTGTTATGGGCAGTAATGCAGCAAGTGGGATCACACAATAGGCATGGCACACAGCACACAAGCCCCCACTTAGCAGGGCTAGTGGAGCTACAACAGAAACACAGCGTCCTCGGAACTTGTGGCTCAGGGTGCCCTCCGTCACTAGCGAAAAAACAAATGAAGTTCAGGCCAGAGTGACCCAGCAACTGGAGGGAAGTGTTTGGCGTATACTGCATTCTGCACAACAAAAGCAATATACTTAGGCAATCTCTGTATATTAGAATGTACAGGCTACATGGGAAGGATCGCAGATGCAGTTTCTTACTGCAAAACCACTAAAATGGTATTTACACAAGAATTTGTGAGAACTTTTCAGAATCTCAGCGTTGCCAATGGGGGGTTTGCAAATGCTGGTGATCATCTTGCCCTTTGGGAATGTGCAAAATAAGCCACAAACATCCAGCCTTTATATATTAAATGACTTTCCAGTCATGTCTCTGGTTTATAGAGGGAGAAACTGAAGACATTCCTTGCACAGGTATCAGACACCCCATTCTTTTTTGCATTAGTGATTCATTTGCCCGGTGCCTGGATCAACACAGCCATATGTATATATCCGTGCATAGCTGATTTTTCCAAAAGCTATATATGTTAAGTCAGAGCCTCATCCTTGCCCAACAATATAGCTGTAACTCAGCTTTGTCAGAAATCTCCCCTCCCATCTATTCCATTGCCCTTTCTCATCCTCTGCTGGAGGAGGGCTGGGACAGTCTTTCCCTGTGTGAGGCAGCAGCAAAGCGAGAGAGAAATTACTATGGAAATATACTAGCAACAGGAATGTACCAAATCTTAGCAGGAGCCTCACACAGGCTGGAGCTGCTCTTTTAACAGAGAATGATTAACAGCCATCCTCTCCCCACCCTCTCTGTGTGGTAACAGCAGCTCTCAGCACTTAAAGGCAGCTTTAATACTGTAGAGTCATCAGCACATATATCCACGGCTTGCTCAATTACTGCTAAATGTCACAAGAACTAGCAGCCCTTGAAACTGAATTTCATTCCTCCTGTGAATCTATGCATGGAACTGGGATGGTACTTTTCCATTTGTTTTTAAAAACAGACCCTTTCCTATACAGGACAGAAGGCTGTTCCCTAGCTCAGTGGGGCCACACAGATGCCTGGCCATTTAATAGCGGAGATTTCTCCTCTTCCCCCTGCCTTGCCAGGACCAGCAAAATGGGGGGGAATAGAGCTGGGAGTGAGAGTGCATGCACACAATTGGAATGTGCAAAAACACCACAACAGCAAGGGCTGCCCTTCTTATGGGATATACATGCATATGGCTTCTGTCCTTTCCTGCATTTGCAGAAAATGGTCCTTGCTGCTCCAAATTGCACGGCAGAAATCCCTTACAAGCACAGGCACGGCCTTAAGTAGGAAGAGCTTTGCTGAGTAAAGCAGACAGCTTATTCACTGGCAGCAAAGAAACTCCAGCCAAACGACTGCATTGTTTGGGAGGCAACATTGCAAAGCAAAGGGAGCCCAGCCTGATGGACCAATTTATATGAGAATAAGCTCCCTCGGCCAATAAAGCGAGATGAGCGCCGCAACCCCAGAGTCGGCCACGACTGGACCTAATGGTCAGGGGTCCCTTTACCTTTACCTTTGGCACATCAAGCTGGTCCTAAGTTTGAGATTTATTTTTCACACCCTGCTTTTTCTGTTAAACCACCACCAAAGCAGCTTACTATGCAACGTAACGGAACAAAATAGGGACAATACAACAGCAGGCCCTATTCAGATGCTCTACTTCTGCATTAAATCAAAACCTAGAGTAGCTCTTTCCCCTGACATTGTACAGGGCTGGTGTCTGTAAGGAGGCTGCGTGCAGCTCCACACATGAAAGCCCCCTATCTTCCCTGCAGATGCTTGGGCGGGCACCACGTGGAAGGACTACTCAGCACCTGTGACACAGCCCTGCCCCCGCCATTTGACACAGAAGCAGAACACCTGAATAGAGACTGCATCAACTGGGTGCATCCACAACAACAGGAGACCCACACATAGGCTTAGGGGAAACAGGAGGATGAAAAGTTGGGATTGTGTTTTTCGAGACTCTCTGAACACAGGATTCAGAGTCAGCCTTCTGCGTAGCTTGGCAGAAGGGTAGAGAAGGGCAGGCAGCCGCAGCCTGGTGACCTCCAGATTTGCTGGACTCCTGACTCCCATCAGCCTAGGTTAGCATGGTCAGGGATAACAGAAGCCTAACCAAAGCCCACTGAACAGACGGTCCTCTGCAGAGAAACCTGCTGCTCTGAAATCTTGCATCCTTTGCTTACTAACACAAATGCACACTAAGCTTTCTTGCCAGCTAGCAATACCGCACGAGCCCATCTGGGGGCAGCAGAGTGTGCTGAATAGGGCAAGGGACACCTGGGATTGTATGGGTGTGTGTGTGTGTGTGTGTGTGTGTGTGTGTGTGTGATGCTCTTACTCTTATCAGCTTTCTTCTCTTTGCTGCCTTTTTTCTTTGGTGTTTCGCTGCCGGTTGAAGACTTGTCTTTCTTCTTCTTCTTCAGCTTTTTCGGCACCTCTACGCCACTCTTTGCTTTCAGTTTCTTTCCCTTCGGCTCGCCCAGGCCAGCATCCCCAGCTGCCAGCTTTCGCTTCTTGGACGGCTTCTCTTTTGCCCCAGCCTTGGAAGATTTGGTTGCTTTGGGACGCTTGACTGCCACAACAGGGGTGGCTTGGGGCTCTCCCTGGGCAGCTGCGCCAGGAGCTTGGGCTGTGGCCTCCTCTGAGCCAACTTGTGCAGTTTGAGTGCTGGCCTGCAGGGTGAGTGGCAACTGCCCTGCAGGTTTCCTTTTGGTGCTGCCGTTGCTCTGAGCCTTTGCGGCAGCTTTCTTTGCAGAGGCGGCTTTGGAGCCGACGCTTCCCGCTCCTTTTTTCCTTGCTGCGGCCCCCTTAGCCCCCTTGGTCTTTGCCACTTCCTTTCCAGAAGATGGTAATGGGCCAATCTCTGTGGAAACATAATTGAAAGAGAGAATGACTCAAGTGCTCTTGACAGCCTTACTAGCTGCTGAGAAGCTTATGCCTTTCCAATGCCTCCTACTTCCAAAGCACTGCGGCTCATGGGAGGTAAATCAGGCCATGCACCAAATTAGTAACCAAGCTTCTCGTTGAATGTTTAACAGCAGGAGAAAAAGGCCCAACTTATGGAGGGGCGAAGCCAGAAGGTGGTGCTGGGGGACTCTTTGAAGCCTTAGCCTTTGGCCTGTGGTCCCTCAGGGTTCTGTCCCTCATGCTATTTAACATTTACATTAAACTGCTGGGAGATATCATCCAGGGTTTTGGGCTTCTGTGTTACCGCTATGCTGATGACACCCAGCTCTATGTCTCCTTTCCGCCTAAATCCAAGGTAGGGCTGGGCAATGTTGGGTTTTCAACATTGCGATTTATCACCCACCAAACATCGCGGTTTGGCAATGTTGAAACAAGCTGCATCAGCTCCTGCCGGCAAGGCACGGGGTGAAACTGCCTCCACTCTCACCACCGGAGCTGAGGCACTTTCAACCCCAACGCCTTGCGGGCTGGGGCCAATTCAGCTGGCCCCAGCCTGCTGCTCAGGAGTGTCTAAAAGAGCCCACACCCCGCAGCTGGCTCCCAAAAGCCAGAGGCGAAGTGGGGGATCTTTTGAACTTCTCCCTTGAGGGGCAACAACAGCCGCCCCCCTTCAAGGGGGAAGTGTTATGAGCAGCTGAGCAGACCCGATCCTGCTTCTGCTGGTGGCGAGGGCAGTGGCGCACTCCTCAGCCAAGCAGTTTAAAGAGGAAGAGGGAGGAACAAGCTGTATGGCACCTCGCTGGTGCAGCTTGTCTCTCCCTCTGCTGGTATGAAGGCAGACGATGGCGGTTTCACTCAGTGGTATATCGCTGGTGAAACCGCGGCTTTCTGAGTCCCTCTGCCTCCAGCTGCAGCTTGTTTCTCCCTTGGCGCTGGCAGCAGAAGGACTCGGAAGGCGGTGGTTTCACCAGCGATGTACCGCTGAGTGAAACTGTCATCGCGGTCTGCCCCTCATACTGATATATCGCCCAGGCCTAATCCAAGGAAGCTGTCTTAGTTCTAAAGTGATGCCTTTCATCGCTAATGGACTGGATGAGGGTGAACAAATCCAAACAAGACAGAGGTTGCCTAGGCTGACTGCCATCAGAAGAAACCCAGAGTTTATCATAGCGTCCAAACCCAGTCAACAACAGCGTCCTGCAGTCCATGTTTTGCCAGCTTTCAGCAAGAAATAAAGTGTGTCTTTTTCCTATTTTAGCAGCTACGTTGTGTGACAGTTTGCTCATTTAGCTGGCCATATAACAATTTAAGAAAGCAGTCAGAAAGAGGAAAGGTAGGAGGACACACTTACTCTCACTAGTAACCCCGGGGAATGATCCACAAATCCAACACCTATCAGTTATTCCCTTCAGGTGTCCTGCCCAAGGGATTCCTAAGACCACACACACACAAAAAGCACGCCTGATGTGTTCCTGACGGATGTCCAACAGGTGGCAGCAGAAGACTTGCTCATGCCGACTAGCCCTTATTTTAACGATTCATGTTCTTGGTCACAGAATCCCAGGACACAAACGGAAGCCTTGCACTTCAGACACCATGACTCCAAAGTGCTAAATTTTTAGCTTTTTAGAAGAGATTTCCCCCCACTTGCTTCTGAAAACCACCTTTTTGGTCAAAAACAGGGCAGAGCCCCCTAAATTACCTAAGCCTAGGAATGTTAAAAGAACTAGATATCTCACGTGACACAGACCCCCATTTTAAAATGTCTGCCACCACCCCAGACATTTAACTGAGAACATGAGCAGAAGTGGACTAACTGCTTCCCTAAAGTAGCAGGGCGGGGGAGCAATTCCAGTTTACAGGCATCACTCGGCACATAGGCCTATCTGGCCACGCCATGGGTACCAGCCCCTACACCTGATGTCAAGGTGTGGGGCAGGTGAAGTCCTGGCTCAGCTGAAAGGGCAGGAAACACTTGCTGGGTCTTTCTAAGCCCCTTGCAAAGCTCTCTGCCAAGAAGCGCAAAGGCAGTATCTACTGATACTGTGCTGTCAAGGTGATTGACAGGTAGGCAGTCCAGGGTGATGGGGGAAGGTAACAATCTGGCTTGCTGCCCTCGTTTTGTTCCCCATTCCTGTCCTAAAGAAAAAGAAACAAACGCTACGCCACACTTTAGAACACAGCTGCCATCTTCAGATGAGTGACCTTAAGGGTGATGCTACGGCTATGGCATGCAAGCTAAGAACAAACATACTGCATGGGGTTAACCCTTCAGTGCAAAATACTGTCCCCACCCACCTGAAGAGAGTCACTAAATATGTCCATGCAGAAATCTGTGGCTGCTATACCCTCTCCCTCCTCCCTCAGAAGATCTCAGAATTTTCATGCCACACTGAGTTTGGGAGGAGGCAAAAGCAGCAGCTGAGACTCATTGCTTGAACCCCTCCTCCTGTCCACCCCCCCCCCCAAGCTGAGAAATGGAGACCTCCTCACTTTGTGCTGAATACGAGAGTTCTCAGGCGGTTGGGACAAGTACACCTGTGCCCATATCACATCATGACTGGTTTACTTGAACATTCCTCTCCTCCAGCCCTTCTGTAAGGATTCACCCTCCATGACTAACCTGTCTTCTGCCCAACTTTTTCCTTAGCATCGGCGTCCGAGTCGCTACTGTCACTGGAAGAGCTGTCGCCAGAAGCCATGCTGATGGGAGGACCACGAAGAGCAGAGGCAGCTTTTCTGGAACTCTGTTTGGATAGCGCAGGAGCGGCACCCTTCGGCAGAGTGGGCAGCGGGGTCTTTATAGGGCCCACGAAGCCCTTTAAGAGGGACTAGAGGAGGGCAGGGGGTGGGGAGGAGAGAGAACACATACACAAGTTAGGAACTGGAACTTATTGAGGGATGCTGCTATCCGTCTTCAAGCTGAAGAACATGGAAGTGGTACCTTACAAATCACCACCGGGTAGCCACTTAACTGGATACTTTTTCATAGTCCTGCTGCAATATTGACAGGTGAGAATCCAGGAATGTGGTTCTTCAACCTCTGTTTCTCTTAATTTTAATGAGGCATCAGAGCATTGGTGGAAGGTGGGAAGAGCATGACAAGGAATTGTCAGGGCAGGTTGAGAAGACAATGCCATGTTGCCATCCGCCTGTCTCGAGAGACAATGGAGTGTGTCTCCGGGGGTGAAGTGCAACTGCTGCGTTAGCAGCACTGAAGTGACTTCCCCGGGGCATAAGCCTGGGCTGTGTGTATGAAGAACTGAACTGCCCAGATAGCAAGACCCCACTCTCAACCTCGCTGATGTTGTCCAAAGGAAAGCAGAGCAGTATGCTTGGCACCAGCTTGGCTGCAGGAGTTGCTGGAAGGAGGCATATAAGGCTCCATCCAACTGTCTTAGAGACTCCATTCCAGATTTGTGTAGTTTACTCCTTAGCCCTTTCTTCTCCCAGGGGTTTAGGATCAGAGTTTTCCTTCTCCTAGATGGGCTACCTTCCCAGGTTGACGAACCCCATCTGCCCTTGAGAAGACAACAGGAACATAGGCCTTTGGGTCCATTGGGTCCACCTGGCTCAGCTGAGCCTAGACCAGGGGTCATTGGATTCCTGTTCTCATCAGCCCCAGGTCCCATGGCCAATGGCCAGAGATGATGGAGTTGTAGTCCAGCACCATCTAGAGGATACCGGGTTGGCTCCTCCTGGTCTATACAGCAGCTCTCCAGGGTTGCAGGCTGGATTGAACTTGGGACTTTCTGCATGCAAAGCAGATGCTCAACCCTTGAATTATGGACCTTTCTCCAATTAGGTTGCTAATTCCTGCAGGAGGAGGGAAAAGTTTTGCAGGGAGGTGGGGGTGCTATGTGCAAGGACATACTAGTGAATTAAGCTTTCAGGTAGAGTTATGACTAGCCTTAAGCCCGCTGGGACCTGGGATCATCTGCACCATCATGACAAAAAACATGGCTCCAAAAGGGTCTAGCATCTCCCCCCTCCCTTCCTAGATGATCCAGTGGTGTGCAGTCTGTGGCCTAGAGGGATTAGCTTAGCTCCCCATTATTCTGGCAAGCCCAGGTCATCTCCTCCTTCACAGCCCCATTTTCTGCCTCTTATGAGCCCGTGAAGGAAAACACACGACGAGTCCCGCCCCTGCCTGCCCCAGTGAAGGTAGAAGCAAGGAAGCAGCTCACAGGCTCTGGAGAAAGCCTAGCTGGAGAAAGGCACAGGGACAGAAAAACCTGTCCAATGCTTCCATTCCCCCTATTGGGAGGCAGCGGGGGAGAGAGCGAGCATTTATGCCAGTATTTTATGGGTTTACAACACACGCAGTAAATTTGCTTCTCTGTTCTCTCCCTGTTAAGCACGCCTAGGGGAGGCTGCTGACCATTACCACACTCCCAGGCTCACATGCAAGTCTAATGCGTTGCAGATGTACAGCTCATACTATATGCTGCTCATAAAAGGACATTTTATAGCTTAGACATGGCTTAAATTGCAAATAAAGAATTGCTGCCGTTTGCCTAACACAGCTCCCCTTGTTTAACCATTGCATAGCCCTGCAGTTTCACCCTGGACCTCTCCCTTAATCAGGCAGGGCAGGTTAACATGAGGTCAGACACAGATATAATCAAGATTCTACTTCCAGGAAGCACCTCTCATTCCATTCAGCAGGTGCATTTAAGATGACGACACCTTTGCTGAACCTATTCCTATTCTCAGTTTTCTTATGAGTAATGTCAATACCAATTTTTAATATAAAACGTACAATAAATGTTGAACCCATTTGTCCTGCACTAATATAACCTTACATTTCTTATCTAGTTGCATGCCTCCCTCACCCCCAAACTCTTCCCTTTCATACCCCATGCACTTATCTTACAATGAAGGAGCACGTTTTGTGATTTACAAACAAAATAAAACCACCTCACAAAACCACTGGGTCAGATTGAAAGGGTAAGAAAAAAACCCTGAAATGCCAAAATTTAGGCACCCAGATAATATCAGTATGGTGAAAACCCTCATTTAAACAAACTAACTTTATATTATGGGCATAAGGAGGTTTAAATATCATTATTTTAAAAGCCACTTTAAGTTCAAGAAAACAGTGCATATTATCACGGGCTTATGATATCGGGTCCAACTTAAGACTGGGGGTCACTAAAGACCCCAAGTGCTGTTCCTGAATACTGTAACTATGTCCTGAAACAACAAATTATACTTAAAGCAGCTTCTTCTTTCTTTTTGTTTTACATTAAATTGGAAACATTTTTTAAAAAATTATCATTTTGGTCATGAATACAATACCAGATCAATAAATGTTGAACCCATTTGTCCTGCACTAATATAACCTTACATTTCTTGTCTAGTTGCATGCCTCCCTCACCAGCTTGCAGAGAGGGGAGACCTTCCTTCACCAGGCTTGAGTAAGCAGCTGTAAGAACTATTTTTACCAATCACACTTAACATCTGATGCATTTACAAGACCAGTAAAATGCCCTTCTTGCTCACTGCAGTCTTCCCTTATGAAACTGTGAGACAGGGCTATTGTGTCTCCAGATGGGGTTCAAGACTGATCCCCAGGCCCAAGACTGCTGAAGTGAGCAAAACTCCAGTCTGTATGGTGTTAAAGCAGATAACCATGCAGTTGAATGGTGAAATCCACACCTTGCTGGCATTACTTATAGCTATGAGGCCAAGCCTTATAGTACTACCATCCATCTTGAAAAATCCTTTGTGCAGACATGCACCATTAAGACAAAACATCAAATGCAGCCTAATGGAATGTGTGCCAGTGTTAAGAGCCGTCTTCTCAGCATGCAGCCCCCCAAGGAAGCAATACCTGCGAAGCCTCCTGGTCTTCATCACTGCTGGTCGCTTCAGATGAGCTCTCTGGCTCCCCCCCACTCCTTGTTTCTGTGGTATGCTTGCTAAAAGAGAAAGAAAGAGGGAAAACTGCCATCTGTGAGACTTCTACTGCTGCAAAACTGTTGTGACACAAAGAGCATCTAACTGTGGAAACAGTGCCAACCCAAGAGCCTTATGAACTTTTACCCACAGAGTTTGCCCATCCCAACTTTGCCAAGGTAGTCGCTGCAAAGGGTACATAGAAGTTTAGGTGATGGCCACTGGGGTTGCTTCAGCTGTGCTATAGGAATACCAAATTTTCCTTACTTTTTGTTCCCCCCCCCAAGGTATGCAAGTGAGGGAGTTATTGGGACAAGAGCTACGTGACCCTTGGGCCCAGCGAAGAGGCAGACCACTTTCAAGACTACTTGAATTACCACAGGCAGCCCACTTAGGGGCCACATTTCCTAAAGGAATTGTGCCAAATTCTACAGTGCTCCACATCTCGCGCCTAGAACTAGTCTCCTAAAGAAGGTTCGGCATACTTTGGCTTTCTTTGAAGGCAATTTTTTAAATTAAAAAAACAAACAAGAAAATCTCCTTGTGAGATCAAGAAAACACTGTGAGAAGGAAAACCATAAGGTTCTTCTCTAGTGCCCTTGTAATAAGACAAAATGAAGATATAACCAAGGAATTTCTCCCATTGAGACTTGGCCAATTGTGCTATCTATCTATCTATCTATCTATCTATCTATCTATCTATCTATCATCTATCTATCATCTATCGAATTTCTACTGTGAAATAGCCACTGAGGGTGGGGAGGATTAACTGGAGTCATGGCTTAGCCTCATCACCTATTTCCCTGGCTCAGTCTTGGGATACATGGTGCACCCCTAAGGATGAACAAGAATGCCTAGCCCCTCAACATCCAAGATTCCAGGTGAGAGGCTGTGGCTTTCAGATGGCTAAACACCCTTTGTAATATGCCATGAATAGGCTAGGATCCTTCTCAGCTTCTCACAGGGGCACTGCTATCTTGTTGCATCTCTTCACTGTGCTTGCCACATTCAAAGGTGACTAGAATCCCCCCCATCTTGTCTCTTACCAGGCTGTGGGATCTGCTTGGCGGTTGTCAATGCCTCCTCCTCGCTATCCGAGGAACTGCTGCTTCCAGAACTCTCCTTGTGCTTAGGGATCCCATCGGGTTTATCAGGCAGAGCCTGGCTTAGTTTAGGCTTCTTGGAGGAGCTCTGCTCCACCTTCCCCGTTGTTACTGCAGCAGGGCCTTGGCACTTGGTGGAAACAGAGTTGGGTGTACTAGAGCTGGCCTGTGCACGCTTCCCTGGAGGAGCAGGTGTTTTTACTGCTTTCGGCAGAAAAAAGGGATGAATGGGGGGCTGCAGGAAGATACAAAATCAGAAATGTCCATTAGAAGTTAAAAGAAGAGGGTGCAAACTTCACAACCAGCCATTCTTGGAATTAACAGACTAGTCTTATGCCTAAAGAAAGCAGGTTCAAACATTCTTGTTTCTATTGCCACCTATCACGCATGAACAATGCAAATCTTCACTGGGTATTTCTTAGAAGGCCAGCAACAATGAAGCTCAAGTAGTTGACCTTTATTTTTTGTTTTAAAAAAGCACATTATTATATTAACAAATCCCAACGCTGGTATCGGGAGATAAAATGACTGATCTCTGTTTCTTTTGTAATTTTAATACTTTTTTTAATGGATTTGTAATTTTTATAGGTTTTGGGCCACCCAAGTGGCATGTTTATACTAGATGGGTGGGATATAAATGTTGCAATAAACAAAAGAAAAGAATTTACATAATTGGCAGTAAAGTGCTATCACTTAAGAAAGATCAGAGGTGATGGGAGGGAGGCAAGGGAAATCCATGCCAGAGAGAAGTAAAGCAGCCCTACCAAAGTGCCTATGGACAATGACAGTCACTTATGACACTAGTATCACCACTGCCTCAAGAAGCTATTGAGAAGGGAAAGGTGTCATTAGTGCTGGGGACCAGGCAGCTTCACACCTGAAGTCTGAGCCACTAGTACAGCTGCACTCTTTGATTCTGTGCAGCAGAATGGATTCTCTTTTTACCTGTTTCACAGGCTTTGCAGCCGCCACCTCATCCTCTGAAGAATCAGAGCTGTCAGTCTCTGAGCTCTCTGCAGCTTTCTGGAGAGAGGCAGCTGCAGACTTCATTGGGCTTGCTGTCCCAACTTTTCCTGCTGGCTGAGCATTGCCTGCTTTGCCTGATGTGGCACCTGCCATCTTTGCAGCTGGAGCTTTCGCAGGAGCGGGTGTGGGTTTCTGAGTTTCCTGAGCTGGTTTCTAAGAAAAGGGAGGATTATTACATAATTAGATTGTGACAAGGGCAGAAGCTCTATATGCATAGAAACTCAAGGGAATTTATTTCTGTGAAGATCTAGGTTACCAAACAACAAATACAACATATAACAAAATATGCACATATATTTATTTTTTGTTGTTAAATTTCTGCTCCATCTTTCCACTTGCCCTTATGTTGCCATTCACCTCATATTTTTAAGGTGTTTTGGTTTTTTTTAAAAAAAAGTTTAATTGCTGCCTCCATTAAGAAGACCGCAGTTGCTTCCCCCAAGAAGCAAAGCGATAGTAATGGTGCTCATAAGTATAATGGGCTGTTATACTCAGTGTAGACCCACTGAAATTAACAGCCATTATTATTATTATTGATAATAATATAATTAGTCATTTTCCTAACAAAACTGACCCAAAGCTACTTACAAAAATAATACATGGCTAGCTTGGGTACATTTCAGTAACACTTAGAACATTGAAGACACATTCTGAAACAGAATGGTGTTTTGTTTTGTTCTTTGCAACCCTGTATGTAAGCTGCAAGCCGTCCTTAGATTTTTAATTTTCAGACAAAATACTATTCAGATTGTTAGTTACCAGCCTCTCCCAACCTGCACCACTGGCTGGAGTTTTTGTGGGGTTTTCATGTGTTTTTCATATGCTACACCTGGCACAATAATATAAAATATATTTTATGCATCCAGCATGCATATATTGTACTATATGATTCAGCCGTGATGTATAAGTTATACTTGGATTAACGAAAACAATCTTTCTTTTTTTTAAAAAAAACACACTCAAATCTGTCAGCTGTGCAAAATAATAACTACTTATTTATTCACCACTAGGAACAGTCTTGGCAACTCCTGCACTGGTTCTACCCAAGCACCTGCTCGTTTCTTTTTTTTTTTGAGACTTCCAAGGAACAGTGGCTTTTAAGCGTGGAAAGCCCTAGAACTGTTTTCAGAAGCAGATCTGGAATCCAAAATGTGGAACAGAGATTTGGGGAGGGAGGGGACAATGAGGCTACTAGAAAAAAGCAATCCAACTATCTGCAAGCACTAGGTAGAGCTCCATGCAACCTCAAGACTAGAGGAGTGTTCCTTGCCGACCACAACCACTTCATACTCACTCTGTGTCCCACAGCCTGAGCTGAATGGCACAGCCGTTGAGCAAACACAAATGCCCAAATCTATAGCTAGGGGCTGTGAGTGCACACAGTCCGTTACTTGAATGAGCAACTGTGAGCAAAAGGGGCCCTGCACACACAGCAACCCCTTCACAATCTCGAAGCCAGATCTTTTGAAGAAGCCAATGTCCTACTCATCAGATTTTCAGAAGCAGGAGGCCAATTCCAGATCCTCATCCTCATTCCATGCTAAACAGCCATTCAGCAAATTTTCGGGGCTTTTTTTTATATTCTGAAAAAATGGTTCTGAACACACCAGACGCAAGCACACGCCTCAAGCTTTGCAAAGCAAGCAACCATGAACTTAGGACCAGGATGTGAAGCACAGCCAGAGTTATACAGGTGGAAGTTACCGCCCTCCTAGCTTTCTCAGTTACCTGGGTGAACACTTTGTCTTCTTCAGAGTCAGACTCATCGCTAGAATCCTGGCTGCTGTCTTCACTCTCCTGGGCCTTCTGAAGTGGTCCTCCTGGTGGGGGCAGGGACTTCGCAGCAGACACCACCTGAGGTGAAGCGTTTGCCTTGGTTGCTAAAAGGAAATAAGGAGGTGAGACAACAGCTCAATGGGTTAAAGCTTAAGGGGGCTGCAGCTCAGTGCCAGAGCATATGCTTTGCAGGCAGACCGTCGCAGGTTCAATCCCTGGTGTCTCCATGTAGGGCTGGGAACAATTTCTGCCTGAAACCCTAAAGAGCCACTGCTGACCATTTAGTCCAGGAACATTAGTCCAGATAGTGTTGGACTACAACTCCCATCATCCTTGACCATTGGGCAATGCTGGTTGAGGCGGAAACTGGAGTTCAGTGACACCTGGAGGGCCACAGGTTCCCCATCTGTTGTGGACAATACTGAGTTAGATAAGCCAATGGTCTGACTTGGTATTGAGGCAGCTTCTTATGATAAGATAGCTTCATCTGTAGATAGGAGCTCATGCACTCTGGACCTGTGGCTGCAGCCATTTCTTCTTAAATGAAAAAAGGAACAGAAAGGAACAGGTGCTGCTCTCTTGGAAAGGTCATGTCAGTGCTTGCTGGTGATTTCCTAGTACTGGTTGAAGAAAAACAGGAAGGAATTGGAGATCACCACAGTTCATGGTCCCACTAGAAAAGCTGGACCCCGAACCGAGAAACGTCTTCCCCAGCTTCTGGACAAATATGTCAGGAAGTCTGTTGGGATCCAGCCTGCAGCCGTGAAGTCTAGATCTTATTAGCAGCTACCTGCTGGTGACAGATAAGCTGCTGCCTGGTATTCCCCCTCCCCAAACTTTGACAAAGCCTGTCAAACCTACAAGCAGGGGAGAAAGATTTTTAGATGCAAGCCTTTTTAAAAAAGCAACTCCATTGCACTGCAACTGAAAAAGAACTCACTGAAGGACAATTCCTTTAACCTTTAGCTGGTCTAAGCTCCCTGGAAAAAAACAAAATAGCCAAGCCATGCAGTACAGTAATGCCTCATCTTTGTACAGTTAGACCAAACATGATAAAATTGTGGGGGAAGTTTCCCAATATCTCCATTAAAACCTCACACACTCTCCTTTTCCATGATCATGGTGGCAAAAAGAAAGGCATTGCAAATGCATGTTAACTGAGGGAAAGGGGTCATAGTTCAGTGGGAAACGCTTGGCATACAGAATGTCCAGGGGTCCATCTTTTGCTGCAGGGGATGGGGAAAAGTACTTTGCTGGAGATTCTGCAGAGCAGCTGCCAGTCAGAGTAGCATATGCTGGGGAAAGATGGACGAAGAGCTTGACTTTGGATAAGGCAGCTTCCTGCCTCCTGTGCGCTGGTGCCAATGGGTAGAAGGGAAAAGACTAAGAGCCGCGCCAGAAATCCTAATAACTCACACAAGGTCATATTCAGCCATGGTTTACTCAGAGTAAACATAGAAATTACGTTTCAGAGGAAACATTGACATTGATGGATCTAAACTAGTCGTTTCAATGGGTCTACTCTGTGTAGGCCTAGCAACTGATGCAACCCATGCTTTGAAAGATGAGAGGTGATGGTTTTAAGGCACCAAGCAGTAGTCAGTGCAGCACACATTTAAATAATATGCACTATTCAAGCATGCTACAGTGGAACCTCGGTTTTCAAGCGTCTCGGAAGCTGAACGATTCGGAACCTGAACGCCAAAAACCCGGAAGTAATTGCTTCCATTTCCGAATGTGCCTTGGAAGTTGAACGGCCTCTGCTGTGTGTTCTCCCATTTTTTCAATGGATTTTGCCAACCACCCATTGATCCTCAGTTTTCAAACGTTTCAGAAGTCAGTCTTCCGGAATGGATTACCTTTGAAAACCGAGGTTCCACTGTACTATGTCACTACATTTGTGTCCCAACCTACCTCCATGAAACTTGGGGTGGTATGCATTGAAGCTACACGCATTTTATCTTTAAGCAATGCTGAAATGTAAAGTTAGGTCAAGAATTTGCCCAAAGCTATTTAATGAGTGAGGGAAGACTGAACTTGAGCTGCCCTATGCCAAATCTCCCACTCTGTCTGTCTGCTGGGTGCAACATACTGGAGCTCTCATTTTTAAGGTTTTGAAGAAATAAGCTTTCAAAAAGACCTTGGAATGGCCCAAAGAGAGGGTACACACGCTCTCATAGCTTTTTCTGTTGCTAAGCGTCCTTGAATTCTCAGGTTTACATTGCAACACAACATCTTACAGTGGGTTCTATTGTTTCATGGAAAGAGGCAGCTTCTACAGGAATGTCAAAATTTTGGAGAACATCTAGTCCCTCAGGGCTTCTCCTCCTTCATCACTGTAAGATTCCAGGCATATTTTTTACTGCTCGTGTTATGAAACAGTGAGACCTGCTAGGCAATTTGGGGCATAGCATTTGCTGAAAAACAGTCTCTGAACATAGAGATATCCAGTGTAGGCTCATGCTGTACCACAAGGGATGGATGGATGGATAACTCTCCTCACACTGCCCCACAGGGGCCTGGGAAACACCCCCTAGCCAGTTCCAGAGGCACCATTCACCTGGGGAGCTTGTAGCCAGGGTTGCTGCAACAAACAACTGTGCAAGCCTTTGGGAGGCAGAGACGCAAGAGGGCACCAGAGGTGCGAGGGACGGAAAGAGGGATGGAGACCAGTGTTGCCCACGGCACCCCTGAGCATCATTCAAGGCACCCCAGGGTGCCATGGCACACTGGCTGAAAACCACTGGTGTGGAGTAATAAAGTGATAGCTGTGTACAAAAATTCCCAGTCACAAAAACTGAGCGCAAAGCTCTCCCTGGCTCTGCAAGCTGTCATGCTGGTTTCCTCCCATGACTTAAGATGGTTTCACACCAAGTCTTTCAACTTCACAGAAGCAGCAAAGCAAAGAATATTCCAGAGAGGGTTTCATAGCTGCTAACATTCCTTTATGAATAGCTCAAGAAGCATGAAGCCATTTTTACTGGCTGTTTTCTTCAGCCTCCAAGGGGAGCTCATCACTCAGAAATGGATCTGCTTGGCAAACGCTACGAGGAACCAGAAACAATGAGCACCCCCCCACCCCTCCTCAAAAAGTACAGTCCCTTCAGCCAATTTGGAAGCATGTTCTGAAACAAAACAAATACAGAATTGGAACACTGACAAGTTCCTCACATCAGTTTCAGAATAATTGGCATCTGTTCCTGTGTTTTGGCACTTCAGAGCGCATTTGTGGGTGTGGATGTGCATGCTTTTACCCTTAGGGAAGCTGTTTGTTACTCCGGAGCCCCCAATGCTCAGGCAAAGAAATTTTACAGAGAAGCTGAAAACAAGAGGCCCCCAAGCACCAACGAAAACCAGGGGCTTCTTACCGAAAGGAGGTGGCAGGTTCTGTTGTGTTGGAGGAATCATTTCCTCCTCACTGTCAGATGAGCTGCTGCTGCTCTCACTCTCCGTCTCCTTCCCCTTCAAAGCACTCGACACAGCTTTCGCCGGGGTGCCTGGTTTATCAATCTGATTTTGTCTGGCTCCAGCGGGAGGCTGAGGAGTTTGCAATTTCTGCACCACAGGGAAAAAACAAAACACACACAACCGCCATCAGTGAAGGATTTATTTTCATGGCTGAAGAGTTTATTTGAGTTTCATTGGTTTCTTATCATTTGCCCCCAATCTGTCTCCCAAAACAGGATAAAAAAGGGATATCCCTGGATGGGAAAGACTGATAATTACAGTTTTTACGTGCAACTGAAATAAACATGGCTATTTTGCATGACATCACCTTGCCAACAAAGGTCTGTATAGTTAAAGCCATGGTTTTCCCAGTAGTGATGTATGGAAGTGAGAGCTGGACCATAAAGAAAGCTGATCGCCGAAGAATTGATGCTCTTGAACTATGGTGCTGGAGGAGACTCTTGAGAGTCCCATGGACTGCAAGATGATCAAACCTATCCATTCTTAAGAAAATCAGCCCTGAGTGCTCACTAGAAGGACAGATCGTGAAGCTGAGACTCCAATACTTTGGCCACCTCATGAGAAGAGAAGACTCCCTGGAAGAGACCCTGATGTTGGGAAAGATGGAGGGCACAAGGAGAAGGGAACGACAGAGGACAAGATGGTTGGACAGTGTTCTCGAAGCTATGAACATGAGTTTGACCAAACTGCGGGAGGCAGTGGAAGACAGGAGTGCCTGGCGTGCTCTGGTCCATGCGGTCATGAAGAGTCGGACATGACTAAACAACAACAATTTTGCATGACCTGAACTCCAGTTCAGACATGAGAGTTTAGGACTTGAAGTGAAGGAATATTCCTTTAGGTTTGTCTTCCCCAACTGTGGTGTGTATTCTCTGTCGAATCCCCAGGGTCAGTCCTAAAGATGTGAAAGCCCTCTCCCATAAAAGTGGCATACTAAAGCAATGAAATTTCATATTTTAAAGCAGCCATCCTGAACCTTGTGCTGTTCAGATGTTTCATGCTAGAACTCTCAGCAGCCAAGTGACATGGGGCGGAAATTTTTCCGTTTCATAAATGTGTTAGTAACAATGAATAGATGCCAACTGAAAGAACAATTTTAGGCAAGTTTCAAAGTTTTCAGCTTTGTTTACGAAATGCAAGTAAAATAAAGCCCGCTAAATTAGATCACTCTAGGCCCTAGGGCATCAGAATTCTTCTTGGAGCAAATTAGTTCAATTTGCACAGGACACATTTCAGAAACGCCTCCTCTCCTGGAGCTCATTGGGCCGAAGAAACAAAGTAGAGCCTTCTCTTGGCATGCTTTGGCTGGCTGCAGAAGCAGGTGGAGCGGGTGGTTTGTGATCCTGCAGAAAACCTGTGCAGCTGTCTGCTACTAGTGCTTTGAAATGCCTTTTATCTTGGCTGTTTCAGCAGCTACATGGTTGACATTGTACAGGACATCCCCCACCTGTACTAAATCACTTGGTTACATTGAACTGACTGGGGTAACTGTGCCCCTGAAGGACCAGGTGCGCAGCCTGGGAGTCATTTTGGACTCACAGCTGTCCATGGAGGCGCAGGTCAATTCTGTGTCCAGGGCAGCCGTTTACCAGCTCCACCTGGTACATAGGCTGAGACCCTACCTGCCCACATACTGTCTTGCCAGAGTGGTGCATGCTCTAGTTATCTCCCGCTTGGACTACTGCAATGCGCTCTACGAGGGGCTACCTTTAAAGGTGACCCAGAAACTGCAACTAATCCAGAATGCAGCAGCTAGACTGGTGACTGGGGGCGGCCACGAAGACCATATAACACTGGTCCTGAAAGACCTGCATTGGCTTCCAGTATGTTTCTGAGCACAATTCAAAGTCTTGGTGCTGACCTTTAAAGCCCTAAACGGCCTCGGTCCTGTATACCTGAAAGAGCGTCTCCACCCCCATCGTTCTGCCCGGACACTGAGGTCCAGTGCCAAGGGCCTTCTGGCGGTTCCCTCACTGTGAGAAATGAGGTTACAGGGAACCAGAAAGAGGGCCTTCTCGGTAGTGGCGCCCGCCCTGTGGAATACTCTCCTATCAGATGTCAAGGGAATAAAAAACTATCTGACTTTTAGAAGACACCTGAAGGCTGTTTTAATGTCTGATGTTTTATTGTGCTTTTAATTGTGTTGGAAGCCACCCCGAGTGGCTGGGGAGGCACAGCCAGATGGGCAGAGTATAAGTAACAAACAAACAAACAATATTACTATTACTGTGGATTAAAGTATAATCCTATCTTTCCAGGCTCTTTCTCCTTACCTTTGCTCTCACCTTGCCCTAACTAAGCAACTCTGCATGTAAGCCACTTTCTAACACCCCTTCATAAAAACACGAGAGGCCGCCCACTGGATCAGATCAAAGGTCTCTTTAATTCTCTTTCCCACAGCAGCCAGCTAGGTGCTTGTGAGAAACAACCCCCCACAAAGCATGGCATTGCAAAGCTTGCTAAAGTGGCTGCAATCCCAGGAGGAAGGAGTGTCTATCAAACAAAATACCAGAGCATTCAACTGCTTGAACACCAAGCACTACAGACAAAAATATTTAAAAGGTCATTATCTATTATAAAAAGGACATTATCTATTATAAAAAATTTGTATTACAAGCTATCAGTTGCATTAACAAGCTATCAGTTACATTTTCAGGCTCACAAGATATAATGGAAAGCCTCGAGGAAAAAAAGAAGAAGGGCTAACTGAATTGTCCTTTAATTAAAAATTGTTTCAGAAGAGGAGAGTGCTTTGGCAAATTGAAGTATGTTCCAAAGCAGATGGAAAGGACTAAACTGAACTGAAAAAGCACCAGGATCCTTTCCTTATAATTCAAATGCAGATCTTTCATAACGTTTTAAGTTTCATCTCTCCAATTAATTCAGTTGCTTTCTCCAAATGACATGAGACAAAAATATCGGCCAATTCAAAACCCCACTGATTTGTTAAGTGCTATAAGGGATGGCCTACACACATAGCATACAAGACCTAAGAATATGTGGAGAAGTACATTGTCTCTCGAGACAGACAGATGCCAACAACAACATGAAAGAGCTCATGAGAACATGAAAGGGGGTATGGGCAGAAAGCAAGAAGCAAGCTTGTCCCCTCCACCAAATTCAGTTTTGCCATTCAGTTGCCTTAGAAGGAAGCCACGCAGCAAGCAATGCACATTATAGTTGGCTTGAATTACACTGAAGTTCAAAGGCCCCCAAAGGAAGCAAAATCAAAGAAGCCATTTCAAAAAGAACCACCAGCCCAGCATCTGGTCTACTGCATTTTTAAGAGCGCTGGGGAGTAGAATAAGGCTCTGGGCAAAAAGAGAGAGAGGTTTTCTGAGCAGCTTTCATCTATTAAGAGAGGCTGAAGCCAAGACTGGCGGACGCTTACAACAGCTGGAAGCCTTTCTTAACTTCTCATCCAGTTGTGTCCCAAGAATGAACGCAATAAGCTGGCAAGGAAATCTGTGCAACACACCTTGTCCAGCTGGCTCATTCTGATCATGTTCTGTGACCAGAATTATTCAAATCAAAAAGAAGGGGAGTTAGGAAGGAGAAAGGACATCTCTGACTGCGCCAGAAGAACCAACATAGGACCCTAGAACTAACAATAGTGAAACCAGAGCTTGCAAAGCGCACAGCAGTTTGCCATGACAAAATATACAGTGGTGCCTCGCAAGACGAAATTAATTCGTTCCGCAAGTTTTTTCTTCTTGCGGGTTTTTCGTCTTGCGAAGCACGGTTTCCCATAGGAATGCATTGAAAATCAATTAATGCGTTCCTAGGGAAACCGCTTGCCAGGCTGGCGGTGCGGAGAAGGGCTTTTCTCCCCACCGCAAGCCTTCAGCACAGGTACGGGAACAGAGGGGAAGGCGCGCAGCGCTTTCCCTCTGTTCCCGGGGCTTGCGTGGGAGGAGGGTTTTTCCTCCCCACCGCCAACATTCAGAACAGCATTCTGAATGTTGTCGGTGGGAAGGAAAACCCTTCTCCCACCCCAAGTCTTCAGGACAGCCATCCGAAGGCTGGCGCGGGGAGAAGGTCTCTCCGCCCCCCCCCCACGCCAGGCTTCGGTGCATCCTTCAGAGGCTGCTGCCATAGTCACGCGTCACTTCTCCAGCTGGGAGAGGGTCGCGGGGCTATGGCTTCTTTAGCCCCGCGCGCGCTCTCCCGGTTGGAGAGGTGACGCTCGGCTATGGAGGCTCCTGCCATAGGCGCGTGTCACCTGGGAGAGGGTCGCGGGGGGCTTCTTTAGCCCGCGCGCGCTCTCCCGGCTGGAGAGGTGACGGGCGCCTATGGAGGCTCCTGCCATAGGCGCGCGTCACTTCTCCAGCCGGGAGAGGGTCGCGGGGGGCTGGTTTTATGGAGGCTCCTGCCATAGGCGCGCGTCACTTCTCCAGCCGGGAGAGGGTCGCGGGGGGCTGGTTTTATGGAGGTTCCTGCCATAGGCGCGCGTCACATCTCCAGCCGGGAGAGGGTCGCGGGGCATTTCTTTAGCCCCGCGCGCGCTCTCCCGGTTGGAGAGGTGACGCGCACCTATGGAGGCTCCTGCCATAGGCGCGCGTCACCCGGGAGAGGGTCGCGGGGGGGCTGCTTTAGCCCCACGCGCGCGCTCTCCCAGCTGGAGAGGTGACGCTCAGCTATGGAGGCTCCTGCCATAGGCGCGCGTCACCTGGGAAAGGGTCGCGGGGCTATGGCTTCTTTAGCCCCGCGCGCGCTCTCCCGGTTGGAGAGGTGACGCTCGGCTATGGAGGCTCCTGACATAGGCGCGCGTCACCTGGGAGAGGGTCGCGGGGGGCTGCTTTAGCCCCGCGCGCGCTCTCCCGGCTGGAGAGGTGACGCTCGGCTATGGAGGCTCCTGCCATAGGCGCGCGTCACTTCTCCAGCCGGGAGAGGGTCGCGGCAGGCTGCTTTAGCTTCTTTAGCTTCGGAGCATCCTTCCGAAGCCTGGCGGCAGGAAGAGGTCTCTCCGCCCCGCCGCCAGGCTTCGGAGGAGGTCCGAGGACAGTGGGGAAGACACGCTGCGCTTCCCCGCTGTCCCGGAGATTTCCCTATGGGCTTTCGTCTTGCGAAGCAAGCCCATAGGGAAATTCGTTTTGCGAAGCGCCTCCAAAACGGAAAACCCTTTCGTCTAGCGGGTTTTCCGTCTTGCGAGGCGTTCATCTTGCGGGGTACCACTGTATCTGGTTATACTCCAAATGAGGTGCCACCCGGGCCCTCCTCTAACCCTTCTGGGAAAGGGTTCCATTAATAATCACTGCTTGCTTCCATTAATAATCACTAAAGTTTATGACTTTGCATGCAGAAGGTCTCAGGTAAAATCCTTGTCATCTCCTGGTAGGGCTGGGAAGGCTCTATCTGAAATCCAGGGGCGCTACTGCCAACCGGTGTAGACAGGACTGAGCTAGATGGACTCACAAGAAGATAAAAGCCTGCTGGATCAAGCCAGTAGCCCGTCCAGTCCAGCCGCCTGTTCTCAGTCACACAAATTATTTGCAAGGCAGAAAATAAAACAAAGACTACAAAGCAATAAAAAAAACCCCCAAAATGGGTAGGGTGCAATAATTCAATATAGGAGTTTGAGAGATGTGCTCCCTTTGACATTCTGGAGGTTTGTAAGATTGACGCTTTGAAAATTCCAGGAAGTGTCTCACAGATCAACAGTTTTTAGGAAACTAATCTTGACCAAATACTGCTAAATACTCAAAGCAGCGACCTTAAAGCTGCTGCGGAGGACAGACATACCCCAAGACAGGCCACGGAACTGAGGCAAGAGGCCAAATGGCAATAAGGGCATCATGAACAGCAGAGATTTACCAACTGCGTTTCTGAGCGTCGAGGTGACACCAGCAAGGGCTATAAACTTATTTTAAGCTTCGTAGTGAGGAGCAATAACACGAGTCCAACATTCAGAAAGCAGTTCCAATAGTGATTGTGTAATAAACGTTATGTTGTGAAGGAAAACATTTTTGCTTTATCAGTCATGACCATTCCCTGTTGTTAAAATGCGAGCATCAGAAAAGCAAGCTTATTACGCTTTAGCTAGATTGGCAACATACTGAGGAACCAACTGAATTGGAGACAGCGCAAGAGATTCTTAAAAAAGGTGATCAAGGAAGCAACCCGTAAAGTGGAGATTTCATGCACAAGAAAGACACATAATTCTGAATGCGTTAGGCCATGTAAGGCAAGGTGGGGGGGCAGAGTCAATCCCATTATTTCAAGTAGAAGCAATGCATTTCTAACCTTCTGGCTTACTGGAACTGAGGGAGCCTCATCCTCATTCTCAGATGACGACTCGCTGCTCTCTGAGCTCTTGGCTTTCTTCCCCCCGCCAGCAGCCTTGGCAGGAGGTGGCTGTTTCACTGCGGAAGTCTTTGGCGTTTGCTTCAACAGAGCTGGAACAGAGGCTGTCTTGGTTGACAGGAGACTGGGTGCTGCTGCATTTTTCACTGGGGATGAGAAGGTCTGAGGGGATTTTCCAGGTGACTTTGCCTATTTTTAAGATTAGAAGAATGGAATAGAACAGACAAAAGCCAATTCATGAACTCAAGTGGTTCATATGTAAGGCTTTAAAAATAAATAAATCCCAACATAAAAAACAAATCAGCAAACAGGTTTTGGGAAGCAACTTTCAGGCTGAACTTGTTTTGGAGTCATAGGAGGCACACGGCAATTTATCTTGTGGCTGGAGTGTCAACGATTTTTGTTACAGGTTCATTTGAAGAAATAATAAAACTAACTCCTTTGAAACACTGCTATGCCACTTTCCCAGATACAGTGGTACCTCGGTTTATGAACTTAATTCGTTCTGGAAGTCCGTTCTTAAACCGAGGTGTGCTTTCCCTAATGAGGCCTCCCGCCGCCGGTGCCCTTCCACTGTTCGGCTTCCATTATTAGACCGAGGCAAAGTTTGCAAACCGGGACACTACTTCTGGTTTTTCAGAGTTCATAAACCAAATAGTTCGTAAACAGGACTGTTCTTAAACTGAGGTACCACTGTACTTGGAAGCAGCCCACATCACTAAGAATGGACTTACATAAACACAGCTATGTGCCATCAAACCAAACTACACAATTAGAGTGTTTCATTTTGAATTGGCTAATTTTAGGAATAGCAATACATTCTGTTACTGGCATTTTGGGGGAAACTGATTTCCCCCTACATCCAGCCAATATACTGCTGAGCCCCTAACCCATGGTTTGGGGGCTTGGGTATGTGATGGCCAAATGTAGCCCATTTTTAAGCTCGCATCCCTTCTTGGATTTTGTGCTTAGTGGCTTACAGCAGGTATGGGAAAGGTATGGTCCTCCAGATGTTGTTGGACTAAAACTTCCACCAGCCCTGGCCAGCATAGTCAGGATGTTGGGAGTTGTAGCCCAGTAGTATCTGGAAGGTCACAAGTACCCTGCCTTAGGGAGAGAAAGGAAGGGCAGGTATCCCCAGGGTGTCTCACCTGTGTTGCCAAGGAGGGTTCCTCGATCTCAGTGTCAGACGAGTCACTTGTCTCAGAGCTGTCTGCTGGCTTCGTGGTTTTAGCCACATTTCCAGATCTTGCTCTGGTTTGTTGTGCTGTTTTCTTTGCTGGAGATGCCTTTACTGCATTTCCTTTAGACGGTACAGCGGTGGCTGGCACACTTTTTGTTGGCGTCGTGTCGACCTGTCTGCTTTCCGCAGCTGGTTTTACCTACAACAACGGGAAAGTTAAAATAGGTGCACGGCAGCTGAGAGCTGGAAAGTTCTCGAGGAACATGTCTTTGATAAGAATACAATACATGGCCACAGTCCTCCAAGCACCTAAACTGCAAGTTGCCCTCGATTCCCAAGCAGTTTTGGAATCTGGCATTGGACCGTGGTTCGGTAGGCAAGACCCAGAATTCAGGGCCAACCAACTTTCAACATCTCATTCTGGAGAGAAGAGACCCCTCCGCTTTGAAATGGGCACCTTGAATTAAAGAATACTGATAGTGAACAAATGTATATAAAGGATCCCAGGACACCCATGGAACCCAAACAAGAGAAGGAAGATAGACAGTAATACACCAGGGAGAACTAACATGGTGTATAATGAATGTGACGTCACCACCAGCACTGCACCTCAAATATTTATACCTACCAAATGAACAGGAGGAACTGTTACAATGCCCAAACAGGAAGGATAAGGATGTTTGGATAAGGCAGGCCTATTCTCTCCTTGATCCAATGACCTAATAAGTCATCCCAATGAGTTATGATCACACAATCTCATCACACAGTGCTACCCTCTTGTGCTGCTAAAGCCCTGGTGTTGGCAGTGTGTGGTGGGGAGGGAATACAGAAATGGAAGAAACGACACCTTGAAAGTTTTCAGGTGGCAGAAGACATCATGAGAAGGATGCGAGTGGACTCAGCCGGAGGCTGGGAAAGCAAAGGCATCAAAGGTGGGGAAGAAACAGGAAGAGTAAAGGGGGGAAAGCAGACAGGACAAAAAACACAGAAAAAGGCAGGGAAGAAAGCAGAAGTTGACAGCAGTTCCCATTTTAAAGCAGCAGTCAAATAACTCTGCTTTTCCTAGTTGGACAGAGGAGCCCAAAACCATGGGAGAACTCTTCCACAGAATAAATTGCTGAAATTAGCCAATGGTCAAACAGGCTGGGGCTGATGGGCGGTGTAATCCAAAAACACATAGAGGGCATCAAACTGGGGAAGGCTGGTTTAGAGCAATGCTCCAGAGAGCCAATTCAAATATTAGCACAGGCACATGGCAGCACAGGCACATGCATTAACATTCACATGGGGGAAACAGCTTGCACGAAAGCACACCAATGTCCAAATCTCTTGGCACAATGAAAATTAAATGCACAGGGAAGAGATTAGCCTGGAAAATTCCACCCCAATGTTTAAGCTTTTCCCACAGAGCGAGACTGGGACGTGAGGAGACGTTCAAGCAAAGCAGTGGGGGGAACACTTCCATGTGGAAGTGGCTCTCTGATGTTCACTTGTCTTTGGGAGGCAAGGACAGAAAACACTTTTCCACAATGGAGACTCCTACTTCCTACTTCCCACCCCGTTTTGCACCAATGGGACCTTTTCCCTCCAAGTATGGTGAAGGGAAGTAGGACAAAGAGAGCTGGCTGGATTCAAAAGCGCCATGAGCTGCATCCAGCCTGTGAGTTGGCTGTTCCCCACTCCTCCAGTAGTTGGAACTACCTGGAGCGTTGCAGTATTTGTTTCTTCTTCCGAGTCTGAGTCATCACTGGAGTCTCCACTGCTACTCTCTGCCTTCTTCAGAGCTAAGACACAGAGGAGACAAAAGCACTTAAGTTGAATCCGATAAACATGAGAGAACATTAAATGCAGCTTTAGAGATCCAAGACCAAAAAAGTAGGAAGCTCTGGGGTGCTTTTTTATTATTAGGGTATCCATATCTCCAACCATCAGATTTTAAGATACTTGCACAAAGCTGTTTTTAAGTGGGCCACGACCCACAGGTCATCTAAATTACCTAAAAATCTTGCTGTTTGGAAAGATATGCCCTGGCTGCTGACTACTCAGCTCTGGAAAGGAAAGAGAAGCCCAAGATAGAAGAATTGTGTTTCTATTCACATGAGTCATGCCATTAGAAAGTGTCTTTAGCCTCCAGTTGGCATGTTCAGAACATACCAATCATGTACTTGAGATTATACCAATTAATGACACAGCAGCAGGATATTCTTCTGCAGTAAAAACCAATTACGTTTTAAGATCCAATATGGAGGGATGTTAAGAATTCACAGCAGAAGTGGGTCATAACTGAGGAGGTTTATGCTCCTGGAGTTGACAGAAGTGATGAGCAATATCCAATATTACTACACACTCCTTGTAGACCCATTGAAGCCAATGGACTCAAGTTACTTAAGCCCATTTCAATTACTGTACTCCAATGAGACAGAGTGTGTCTTAGTTGACCATAATTTGTAAGACTTTCCAATAGACTAGACAACATATTATTACAATTGCTAGGCTTATGAAAACCCATACAGCACAAATTTATGGGGAGGCGAGTGACCCTATTTTGCATGTGATTTTGATTTAGCTAGATACTGGCCAACATCCTCATAAATAAATGAGGAAATCCATAGAGAAAAATCTGTCAACTGACATCAAAATGGAAATGTATTTATTTCAGGTGCTCAGACAGCTCAGCATGCTTGCCATAACTTTAGCCCAAGAAAGCTACTGTGCTACACACATGCCTGCCTGCCTGCCTGTATGTGTGCTCATGAGCACAACTGCATTTGTGTCCTTTGGATCCTTCAACGTGTTTGGTCTCTTTGCAATGGACACCTGCTTTCACGGAGAGTACTGAACGTTTTCCTTTTGCTGAGAATAGTTTTCTTTTATATTTATCCCCTCAAATAGAGCTGAAACAATCAAAGCTACAACATGATTTGCAAGGCAATGCAGGCCAACCAAACCGCAAGTCAAAAGGAAAGATTCGAGTCCGAGAGCTTGGATGATGTTTGTGCAATGCCTTGCGAGACACATCTCAAGCCAGCCAACTTCTTACCTGGCTTGGGTACTGGGGTTTTTACTGCTGCTGGTGTCTTTTCTTCCTCACTTTCAGATGAGCTGCTGCTGCTGCTTTCAGAGTCCTTTGTCTTCCTTGCAGCGGCTGCCTGTGATGCATTCTGCCCTGCTATAGCAAGAGGCTGAGAAGCAGATCCTGGCTTAACAGGGAGGATTTTATTCTGTCCTGCCTTTGTCACAGCCGGTGTTGGTGGCTTATTTGCAGTTGCCTTTTTCTGCTGCCCTTTTGCCTGGACAGCAGCTACAGCCACCCCTTTGCCTGGGAAGGAGTTCGTCTTCTGTGCAGCAAGTTGCAGCAAGTTGCTGGTTTTGTTTCCTGCTGCGGGGATGTTCACCTAAGAGCAGAAGCAATCTCATTACACTTGTCAAGTTGTACTTAAGGCACCACCAATGACTGATTCTTCTACACTGCTTTGAGGCTTTTCTACAATCAAGCAGTATAATTTCATAAATAAAATACATAGCCTATGCAGTCCATCACAGAGACTCCAAGTTTGCAAACAGCTCCAATAAGACCACACTAACTGGCAGCTCTGCATGTACAATGGAGAGAGGAGAGCTGTGCCCTACCTTTTGGACCATGTGCTTATTGTTATAGGCTTTCTCCTATTCAATATCCTCAAGACTGATTTCGATCTGAAGGTAGATCAATGCTTGTCTAGAACTGTCTACTCTAGACAATTGCCTAGACATTCAAAGCTTGTCTAGAATTTACCATGTAAAGAATGCAACTTATTATGGTCACCCTAACAAGGTGCATTTGGATGCATTTCAAACGGGGAGTGTTTCCTTTTGCCATAGGGATTCTTGGTAGGTATGTTTTTTCTCCCAAATCCTACAATAACTGCTTGTGAGCCTTCAAAGCAGACACATCTCAGTTATTCCAGGCTCTCATGACTTTTCCTATATCCCTGAATTAAGCATTTTGGGGTTAGGTTTTCTGGAAGGTGAGGAGACAGCTCAAACCTTCCTCTGTTCTCTTTCTTAAAAAAAAAAAGGAGTTTCCAAAGTTTACCTGATGAGAGATTTTGAACATACACAAACAAAGCAAGTGCTATATTTGCAATCATGAAGTCTGATTTTCCACAGCTATCCTATTCTCACGCACACCATTTACAAGCACTAGCAGTAACAGTAACAGTAACTGCCTTCTCACCTCCTTGCCAGCAGCTTCTTCCTCTTCAGAAGATGACTCCTCGTCCTCACTGCTGCTCTCCGCTTTAGCTAGGGAACTGTTATTCACAGCCACATTGCCTGCAACAGAGAAGAGATGTCAGCCTATACAAGTCAGAAGGATTTCCGTGTCTCCAAGGGGAGGGAAAACTGAAGTCGCAGGACAATTTCTATCCTGTCAAAGGACACCATGTGTCAAAATTCTAGACAGTATCTCAAAGTTCCATAGCACTCCTCATAGCAAAACCTCTTTGCAAGCAAACTGCATGTGTCAAGGACAGAGATGAGATGGTCCCTCAACTGCATTTGCTCTTTTCAAACAGCATCTAAGGTGCAAATTATACACCACAGGTAGTAAAGTGCTTGGGGACATGGAATTAGACAAGTGCATCTTACTTTTTATGGGTTTTGCTGCTTCCTCCTCCGAGCTCTCAGAGCTGCTCTTGGGATCAGGAACTCTGATCTTTGCTGGGCTGCCCTGCTTGATTTCCTCCGCCTTTCGTTTCTGGGCTTGTGAGGAAGTTCTGTTGAACAGATTTTGCAAGTATGTTGAATAGGCATTAAACGAGGATTGTTAGCTTAAAAGGGTTCACTCAACAACTTTTTGAGTCTCATGCCTCTGTAGTACAAGAACCACCACTGTCACCCATGAAACATTTACTTTGCTATGGAAATAAAACAAACTGGGTACTTCTTTGACTTTTTTTTTAAAAAAGTTTGTAGTTCAGGCAAATTGTCTCCCCAAGTTAACTTTTAAAATTAACTTATTAGAGGCAGTAATAGAACTAATCATACCCAATACCGTGAAATTGGGATGAGGAGCTTAATTAAAACCTAGTAATAGCTTCATCCTATCTGCATGGCTAATTTGAAGCTGGAATTTTCCAAGACTGTCACACTGATCACCTACCTATCAAGAAAAAAAATGTTGAGTCTAAACTTTACCCAAGAGAAAAATAATTAAAGAGAAAAGGGATCAGCTAATGGATCTCTCGCCCACACACAAGAGTGAATGGATCATAGTTTAAACCCCCCCAAAAAAGGGGTAAAGGGGGAGAATGAGCACCACACAGAAGGATTGCCATGTTATTGCTGGTTCCAAGGGCCAATGTACAGGGGAACTGTGGAGGCGGAAGGAACCACAGAGAGAATAAACAGGGGGCAAAACTTGACAGTATCACTCAGAAGGAAAGTTGGCATTTCCTAGCAGATCCCTGCCTTCTACTGCATTTTATATCATGTAGGTGTCATTTGTCTAACCATTTAGCTAGATGGGACAGAGAGGAAGAGTGTGTGAGATTTACGCAATACTTAGAAAACAACTTTGGGGAAAACCTGGAAGTAAAAATGAAATGAAAGACTGAACCAATCAAAGTTGCGACCCACAATTAGTCAAAATTATGTAGGCTATGTGTACCGTTACTTGAGCATGGTGATTTATAGACAAAACACTAATCTTTTTACCTCAGGCCGAACAACTTTGCATTATCAATTTAGATATAATAAAGGATACACAGAGCCCAAGAACTCCCGGATTGATGGAGTGAAACAGAAGGAGCTTCAAAGTTTTAATTTGAACAAAAAGAATAGGGACATAATATTCCACTTTTCATGAGCTGGGTGAAAGGGATTTTTTTTAATTTGGGGGGCTTGCTTCAGAAGTGCTTTCTGACCCTTCTACAGTACAAAAGGGGAGGACACTGGGGTTCTGAAGCCCCCTTCCAAGGAGTTCTTTGAATGCTAAGCCAGCTATGCCATTGCCCTCACATGCGAAGACCCTCTATGCATGTAGTGACAGGTCTATGTAGAGCACAAGGAGGAGTCATGGGGCAATAAAGACCCTTCCTTGCCTGGTAAATCTATAATGGCTCCAGGATTGCTCCAGGAAGAGCCCCTTATTACAAATGCCAAATGCAACTCCACATGTTCCAAGAATGAAACAAGACTATTTTATCTAATCTATCCTTTTATTCAGGGTAGATTATGTTGGTCTGGAGGTTACCCTTCCAAAAGGGAAGTAATTAAAATGCAGAAAATACTAATACTACTATTATTATTAAAATGTATTGCTAATAAATACTAATTTAAAAGTGTGTCTATCAGGCACAGTATCAGACAAAAACATAACTTGTTTCTTTTTTGTTAAACTTACTTTTTCCACTGAGTGAAGATATCTCCGAGGGGGACTGGGGATGGTAGGAAGGTCTTCTGTACGAGAAAAAGAGAAATTAATTGTGTGCTTTACCCATATCAAGAGCAGAAACCCCACTTTTTGGCCCCACATTTTTTAAAAACAACAACAAGAAGAAGAAAACAACTGTAGAGTTGCTCCAAGTACATTACAGGCCCAGAATTAAGAACCACAAAATAATGGGAAACAATTTGGCCAAAAGATGCTCCCAAGACACAACTAATTTCTTCTCATTGTAGAATATTTACCAAAAAACCCCACTGGTTTTATATCCCCAAAGAGGCAAAAAGATAAGCCCAACATAATGGAAAATAGTATTTCTGGCCCCAGATTAAAATGTATCTGAAGGTTGTTGTTTTTTTTTAGAAATCTATATACTTATCAAGTACAGTGGTACCTTGGTTGTCGAACTTAATCCATTCCAGAAGTCCGTTCGACTCCCAGAACCATTCGAAAACCAAGGCGCAGCTTTTGATTGGCTGCAGGAGCTTCCTGCACTCAATCGGACATTCAGCTTCCGAAAAACATTTGCAAACCAGAAAACTCACTTCTGGGTTTGCAGCGTTCGGGTGCCAATTTGTTCAGGAGCCAAGCTGTTCGACTACAAAGGTACCACTGTACTTTCATAAAATCCTCAAGAGAAGTGTTGGCAGCAGCTACACCCAAGTGCCTAATAAATGCCAACTATGACAATTGGAAACATACTATTACCACCACTGATAAATATATCCTATACCCAACTAGGATGTTGAAGAAACACACACATACAAAACTGCCAGCGGTTGCCAACTCTGACATCAACTAACACAACACTGTAGGTTTCCTGTAATATGCTTTTTGCATTCTTACTCTCCCTCTTGCATGTTACTTAATCCACTGGCAGTACAGCCAATTTTGGCTCCAGACTTTATTTGCCTCTCATAGTTGCAATCCAAATGGAGAAGTCCAAGCAGTGGGGAGAACCACACCCACAAACAAAAGTGCCTGCAACACAGCTGGATAAGCATTTATCATATTTATCAAACAGTGCTATGTGCATTTTAAAGTACACACACCGGCCTCCTCTATACGAGGATAAGTGGGAGGAACTCACATATATTTAAATATCGAGAGATGCTTCTCACACAAAGCCACTTATGGGCATTGGGTTGGGGGACACATTCAACGCAGCTCCCCAATGCATGAGAATGGCTTATCTGAACACCCCTAATAGTAACAGTCACTGCTCTACAATGTTATTTCTAGGTGGTAAAAGCCCACATGACTTCTGGATGAGAAACAAGTGGATACCTCTGAAACCATAAAGATTTCATCCAATATTGCTTTCGGTGTAATTTCATGTTTAGGGTCTTCATAATCTCGCAAACCTCCCAGCTTCAAGTCTGGCTACCCCAATCCTATATACACGTAGCATCATTCTCCTCTATGCCACAAAATACCTTCAAGTTGCAACCCTGTCTGCCTAAATTATGTTTCAGTCTGACAGCTTAGTAAGAGTAAAGGTAAAGGACCCTGACAGTTAAGTCCAGTCGCGAATGACTCTGGGGTTGCGGCAATCATCTCGCTTTACTGGCAAAGGGAGCCGGCGTTTGTCCACAGAGTTTTTCTGGGTTGTGTGGCCAGCATGACTAAGCTGCTTCTGGCACAAGAGAACACCGAAACCAGAGCAACACATGGAAACGCCGTTTACCTTCCTGCCGGAGTGGTACCTATTTATCTATTTGCACTTTTTTTGGCGTGCTTTCGAACTGCTAGGTTGGCAGGAGCTGGGACAGAGCAACAGGAGCTCACCCCGTCGTGGGGATTCAAACCGCTGACCTTCCGATCGGCAAGCCCTAGGCTCAGTGGTTTAGACCACAGCGCCACTCGTGTCCCTGGTAGCTTAGCAGTACCTCAAAAATGGCAATGTTCAAAGCTGATGTGCATCAAGTCTTGCTAGTGCTACCACGAAGCTCTGTATACCTGTCACAGGTGGGAAGAAAGGTTTCATACTAAACAGAGAGCCCAGACAGCAGAACCACATTGGAGATTCTCCACTTAGGAGGTTACAGCGTTGGGGGAATTCTGTGGTGGTCCAGACATCAGGACTACAGAGCCTCCAAGGAGAAAATGATTCTGCATTAGAGTTCAGGGCTGTAGATTTATTTATTTATTCATTCATTCATTCATACCCCACCCATCTGGCTGGGTTTCCCCAGCCACTCTGGGTAGCTTCCAACAAAAGATTAAAAATACATTAAAACATCAGTCATTAAAAACTTCCCTAAACAGGGCTGCCTTCAGATGTCTTCTAAACATTAGATAGTTGTTTATTTCCTTGTCATTTGATGGGAGGGCATTCCCCAGGACAGGGGCCACTAATGAGAAGGCCCCCTGCCTGGTTCACTGTAGCTTCACGTCTCATAGTGAGGGAACCACCAGAAGGCCCTTGGCACTGAATGATGGGGGTGGAGACACTCCTTCAGGTATACTGGACTTAGGCCGTTTAGGGCTTTAAAGGTCAGCACCAACACTTTGAATTGTGCTCGGAAACGTATGGGAGTCAATGTAGGTCTTTCAAGACCAGTGTTATGTGGTCTCATACTTGCACTAGGCCATATTTTCCATACATACACCCTGCTAGATGCCCATAGTAAAAATATTCAGATTGTTCAAGTGTGTTGCTATTTTAAGCTATAAATTATTTTAATATTGGGTGGTGAAGACCATCTGCACCTGCAGACATCCTCAAGACCAAATGCAAATAATTAATCTTTACAGAGTCAGTGGTTTGTGGGTTGTGACCTCAACCATCCCAACTGTAAACAAAATTTAGGGTAGGTCACAAGTGGCTTACTGCAGTACAAGAGAACGTAAATATTAAGTTTTTAAAAACCCACATTTCCTGAGGCTATACTCAAACAACACACTAACCCCTTGCTTCCTCTATAGGTTATATTTTTAATCTATTCAATATTGAAGCAGTTGTACACACCCATTAAGTAGATAATGTAAAACTCACATACTTTTATCATGAGATTGCTTTGGGTATATAAACCTCAAACCAAAACTCTAATTGGACCCCTTGAATTTAACAGGCTTAGGGCAAATTCACACATGCATGTGTATTTCTGAATAAACCTGCATCCATGAAACAGCCTCAGAGATTGGACATGAGTGTTACTAAATCCCTTGCTTCCAAGAAATCTATTCCAACATGACTAACATTGTATAACAGCTGGAGCTTTCAGTTTCATTTCCCTTTCAGACTCCTTGCACACAGTATTTTCTTCTGTACCTAGCAGTCACACTTTCAACAGCAAGTCACAAAATAATATGCATGTGTGTGACTCTGTTGACACTGATATCAGGACAATGCTAGCTGAAGCGGACTAAATAACCAGCTAGGTTCAAGGGTACTAGCATAAAACGGAACATAAAAGAACACGTTACTCTTGATAATCTGTAATAACTGACTCTCAACAGTCAAAATGTGGACTGGAATTCACAATCCACTCCTAGGACTGCTCAGAAAGGTTAGAAAAATCAATGAATTACCATTCCCAAATACTTGACTGTGAGAGGTAATTTGGATTTATAGGCAATACAGTGGTACGTTGGGTTACAGACGCTTCACGTTACAGACTGCGCTAACCCAGAAATAGTACCTCGGGTTAATTACTTTGCTTCAGGAAATCGTGCAGAAATCGTGCGGCGGTGGCAGCAGGAGGCCCCTGTAGCTAAAGTGGTACCTCAGGTTAAGAACAGTTTCAGGTTAAGAACGGACCTCTGGAACAAATTAAGTTCTTAACCCGAGGTACCACTGTATCCCTGCCTGAGGTGTTCAGGGCAGCCTCTGTTAGTGGTCCCCACCCAGGCCCACTTCTGAAGAACTTCCCAGCTCAGATCAGGGAGGCCCATCTTCCACTTCCACCACCTAGTGAAAACCTTTAATTTCAAATTGGGACTTTTAAGCTTTCTGGTAAGCATCCACTGGTCTCGTCTTCATTGCACCTTTTTAACTGCACCGTACGCCGCTTAGAGGATACAAGCCACTGAAATAAAATCTCAGAAATCCTTTCAATAGGAGCCCTGGGTGTTCTGAAGAGCTGCCTAGAAATACACGCCTAATAAACTGAACAAATCCTTGCTAAGGCCTTGTGAGGCAAGTAAAGGCTACTGCTATGAAAATGGGCTGCTGGACGCCACAGAACAAGCTTCCCAATACGAATTCTTCCCTACTGCAGGATTACCGGGGGGTGGAGTGAGGGCAGCTGCCTTGTTAGACCAGAAAGAAAAGACTTTATAGGGTTGCAGTTTCATAGAGTTATTGGGAAGGCTTGCTAGTGAGGCGGGCGGAGAGCAAGGCTCGTCAGCCCCCCCCGCCCCCTCCACCCACGTGGGAGCCCGTGCAGTTACCTGCCCACTCTGTGCCAGCAGCTCCCTTGCTGCTCTCTCATAGCCAATCTGGACCAAGTGCTGGTGCATCAGAGCCAGCAGCTCTTTCTGTTCGCTGCCTCCTGCTGCTGCCATGCTCCAAGGTTTCCGGTCCTTAGCCCGCGTACACTGCCATCAGCGGAGGCGCGGGGTTCACAGCGAGTAGCTGATAAGCCACATGCTCCCTGCCACTTGCTCCTCTAACCCTTTGACCAGGCAGCGGCGCGGAAACGTCACTTCCCGTTCCGCAGCCCCGGGGGCTCCTGGGAAGTGTAGTCTCTTATCGCCGAGCATCTCCCAGGCGCCCTTGCTTGTAATTCGCTCGCTTTGTGCCTTCTATGCTGCTGCGTCGCGCTTTAGATGTAGGGCTTCAACGAGCGGCTTCCTGCCTAAAGCGCGACGCAGTATTTTTAAGGGCACAGCCGAAAGGACAAGCACGGCTCAAGTTTTAGGAGGCTGCATTTAAAAAGACAAAACAAAACAGCGGTTTTTGTTTTCTTTGCTCTGGATTTCTGCAACTTGCAAGGCATATACAGTATAAAAAAAAGCAAAGCAGCTCATCGCTCGGTTTCTTGCGACCTGCAGGGTAGCTCAAGATTTTCTAAGTTCCTCTGTTTGGAAAGACTGCTCGCCCAAGTGTAGATTGCATTCCACATTTAGCTTTTTTGTAAATATTGCTCTATGCAAATAGCACTTCCGTTTACTTAAACACCTGATTGTATCTCAAAATTCTGGACACCTACCAGACCATCTGTTTAAATTAGGTTGTTTTTTTTCAGGCAGGTGGTTTTAGAGTTGTTTTCTTACTGAATAAGGTATTCTGCTCTGGGTAGCTGCTGCCATTTAGTGTCTGTGTTGCTGCATTTAAATTTATATGTAGTTATACATAGAGACAAGGCAGTTAGATGAGGTGAGTGGTTGCCACAAGCCTCAAAGTTGGTACTTTATAGGAGAAAGTTGGCTCTGCGCACTCTCGGTAAAGAAATGCCTCTATTCTTAGACAAGTTAATAATGTCCAGCGCAGGCTTTTGCAACTCTGAAATACAGAGCCCTTATTTGTGTACAGTGAAGGCTGCCGACATGTACCCACTTACCTAGGAATAACCCTTTTACCTAGGAGTAAACTCAGTGGGGCTTGCTATGAATAAGTATGGGCTGCAATCCAATATCCACTTCCCTGGGACTAAGCCCCATTGTAAACATCTGAGTAGATATGCATGGGATTATTAAAAGAAAATTGGCCCTGCTTCAGGAGGTTCTATAGATTTTAGTTATTTGCTGCATGTTTAGTCCACTTTTCAAACAATTATTGCCTCCTGAAGTAGCTCGCATCAATATATAAAGTTTAAAAGGGAGAGAGACAGGACCTCCCACCAGGCTTACAAACTAAAAGGCATAACACACACTGAATGAAGGATGGAGGCAAAACGTGGAGGATGGAGATTAGTTCTCTAAGGCAAAATGGTGAGCTGCAAGAGTTTAAGCCAGGCCAGTCTTCACTTGCTGGTGTTCTTCCTTGAATAGCAGTTGGTGGCTCTTGTTCCTTTACCCCACAAATGGGGCCAGAGTATCCTTCCTCTTGCTTCTGATTAGTCCCTGGACAACTGGCAACTTGGAGCTGAGTGCGTATTCTTTCTAGTGGGGCAGGGAGACTGAGCTCTCTGCAGTAGCTCCATGTCAAGGCCTATGGGTGGGACTGGGTTGGTCTCTCTTTTGCCTTGGCATTATTACTGGGAGATAAGAGGAGCAGCTTTCTAATGGCCCAAGTATAGTGGTACCTCGTGTTAAGTACTTAATTCGTTCCGGAGGTCCGTTCTTAACCTGAAACTGTTCTTAAGCTGAAGCACCACTTTAGCTAATGGGGCCTCCTGCTGCCGCCGTGCCGCCAGAGCACGATTTCTGTTCTCATCCTGAAGCAAAGTTCTTAACCTGAGGTAATATTTCTGGGTTAGCGGAGTCTGTAACCTGAAGCATATGTAACCCGAGGTACCACTGTATGTCATAGTTGGCTCACTACCAGGCCTGTGGTTTTATATCTATAAAACAGGATTTTGTAGAGGGAGGAACTGCAGGAGTGATAAAACCAGGTGGGCTGGGTATAAATAATAAAATTAGTATTATTAAGGAAGTAGTAAGAGCAGTGTAGTTGCTCTTGCTTTGACAATAAAAATGGAAACTTCATTCACTTATTGTTTACTCATTTTTTCTGTTTGCATCCAGCCTCATTTTTAATTGTCCCATAGGGCTCTGCTCAAGAATTAGTGGGGGATGATAAAGGCAAGAATGGAGAGATAACCAGCTTCTTGTTCCCTTTCTGCATAGCTGTCAACGTTTCCCTTTTTTAAGGGAAATTCCCTTATTCCGAATAGAATTCCTCACAAGACAAGGGAAAAGTTGACAGCTATGCTTTCTGGGGTAACCTGACACACACCGTCTGAGAATCCAGGAGATAGATGGTGGTGTTTCTGTGCTTGGTTACTGAATTAGAGTACAGAGTCTTGTTATGTTTCAAATATGCCAGTGTAATGCTTGCAAATTATCACTTGATGGCACTGTAGTGCTGTTTTCGCAGCTAAAACATGAAACATAAAAAGGAAGGCCACCATTGGGGGGGGGAATAGCCCATCCTTCATTTAGACTTTATAGTAGAAGCCTCATTAGAAGGTGCCCCTAAAGTGGACAGCAAGTCTCAACCAAGAATATGCTGTATGGCAGGGATTCCAAATCAGGGTGCTTTGCTGGAAAAAATCCATTTATGAATTACCCCATGTAGTAACATCTGTAGCACTGGGATCAGATTTTGATCCTCTCCCTTCTAAGTTTCCTCAGCTGTTTTTCTGCCCTGAAGGAATAGAGTGGAATATATAGTGGAAAAGTCTGCTTTTTGAAAAAGGGAAACAGAGACCCCCCTTTAAGGATGTTAATGGCTGAGGCAGACATATGATTGCTACTGCTTGAGTTGAGAGGGTGGCCGCTGGTCTGGTCCCTGGCACTCTCTCCTGTCCAAGAGTTCTGACCAAAAAACAAAATGGAGATTGATAAATCTGACAATGCTGCACCCCAGAACTGTGCCCTTGTTTTGCACAGAGCAGCAGTTACATGTTAAAGAACAGGGTGCAGAAAGAGATCAGTCCCACAAAGGGACATTTCAGGAAATAATTGGTCAAAAAAATGTGGTGGAAGACATTTGCAAACAAAAATATTATGGTTGTTGTTCCATTAATCTTGCTGTGTCACCCATCTCTGTTCAAATAACATGGATCAGGATTAGGCAACCCATGGATGTCTCTCCATAGCCTGATGTCTCTCCATAGCCTGAAAAACCCCCGCCAATTCTGCCAATAAGCCTTGGTGGACTAGAAACATCCCACAGTCCTTGTGTTGCTTTAAACCCCTGAGTTATACTGCTCTTCTCCTCCTCACAGTATTTTTCTCCTTTCTCCCTCATTCCCAACAACCTTCCTTTGTCCTATCCTCAGAAAGAATATTGCAATTCTATCTAGCAGTCCAAGCCATGTATGTGGGAGCTTTGAAGTATTATAAATATTCCAAATGGCCTCTCCATTGTGGGAGTTTTAGTAGCTCTAACCCAAATTCAGAAAAGGTAATAGGATACTCTAAGTGTACTGAAGAGGCCATCTTAGGTCCCATGTTAACTAACATGGAAGAGCACATTTCTTCTGATGTGTACTGAAATGACTATCTGCTTGGCTTACTTAAAAGCACAGTCTATCCGTATAGAACCAAACTATTGAGAGGGAAGGGACAGGCTGGAGGGAGAGGGGGGGGGGAGAGGGGATCATACCTTAGGGCTAACCCAAGACACAAAAGGCCAAGATGGTCTCCCAGGCACCATTTCCAGGTACAGAAGTATCAGTGGCAGAATGACATCCTCTATCACACCTGAGGGTAGCAGGTTAACATAAGTTATGCAGGGCAGGCCTCCAGCACCTCACTGCTGCTTCTCATCTTCCAGCATCAACCGCCTGGGGTCTATTTGTCCACCAAAATCACTACAATCTACCGTAACCCAATGTTTGCTACGTTTGCTTTAGCAAATGGCTTTCAGCCACCTCTGTTGTTAGATGCATGGGTCCAAGACTGTTAATTCCAATAAGACTCAGTATGGAGAGCAAAAAAGTAACAGATAGATAGATGCATCAAAACAAACAGTATACTTACCCAGATTGTTGCAAAATGTTGTCAGTCTTCATGAAGGCAGCTATAAAATTAGAACTTTGCTTCCTACTGAGACTCGTGATAAATTCATTGCAATTGCAGCCTGATGTGCTTCAAGGTCATATAAGTCCAAAAAGGCTCATAGGCTTCATTCATGAATAGTCACCAGCAAACTATTGGGGGGCGGGGGCGGAAGAGAAGCATTACAGCAACAGAACCCACTTAAATGGATGAATCCGCAGTTTTTTCTCGTCCCATAGTTACCGGCACAGAAGGCATTTTGAGTGCTTTTGTAAACATGGCAAATAATAAATAGAGCTATTCAGCTAAGCAAACATTTGCATCATTATAAATAGGAAAAAGCTGCCGTGACCAAACTCTGGCACGGAAGGAACAACGCCAGGTAATTATTAAAAGGTGAGGTTTTCGATTCATGTTGTTTCAACTGGAGGTGGAACTATTTTGCCCTCTCTGTATTTTTACGAAGGTGGAATGTCCCTGCTGTATCTCAAGAAGTCAGTTCCTTAGGTATGCAATTTCAGTGCCAGGAGTGACCAGTGACTCATGAAGGGAATTGCAGGAAGCTGTTTTACAACCAGAAGGAAAGGAGGTCAAGCAGGTAGAGCTTTATACACTCATAATCAGGACTGTGGTCGTGTGCCTCTCGTCTCCCTGGGTTACATATTTTACTCGGTACTTTTAAAACCACTTATGTGGCTCTTCATTCAATTTTAAATTATTCAAGTGTGCCAAGTTTTGAAACTGGACATGTCAGTGGACTGGAAGCTTCTGTGATCCCCTGTCAGAAACATATGGAAGTGTGCACCTCATAATGATGACTTCAAAAGGGTGTTGAGAGTTGATGCGGGTCTGGTGTTCATGTTGCATACATAAGAACCAGGGCCATTTAATGCCCAGCTAACCTTGGCAGCCTTTGCTGTCTTATCAGAGTATCTGGAACTTTCAAGTTGTTTCAATGAGCTAAGGACCACTGAAAAACCATATTTGTTATTGGTACAGCATTTTGTTGTTTAACATGTTTTCCAGTCTT